AGAAAGAAGTTTTGAGTCCTGTTTTATCCAGCTTGTCTATGTGTTTAGAATAGGAAAGCTGTTCACTCCAGCTCAATCCATCATGTTTGCCAGCTGAGAAATATTATGCGTGGAATCCACTGGGCTTTTCTTAGACAAAGTGATGAAACCTATAAAACATTTTCTTATTTCCATTTTATTTGTAGTTTCAATTTCTGACTCTTTCTGACTTACTCTAAGGAATTCCCTGGTTTTATGTTTATATGTGCATAGTGACTCCATCCTGACCCCTCCATTAGCAAGTTGGACCCCACAGGAGGCTCCCCCTGCTCTGTAATTGTCATCTCCCTCCCCTACAAGAAGACACTTACTTCTACACCTAAGTAGGTTTGCTCACCTGCTCTATGCTCAAAGTAGCTTCAAAATTCCAGCAACTTTACTAACGTATAACCCGCTAAACGAACTTTTGTTCCTTTTTCTATAGACTATATCCCATGGAATGTAGACAGGCAAAATACTGTGTTTAGAAGCTGCTTAATTTAATGATTTTCTCTGTATGGTTATCTTATCAACCTAATATACATTGGTCTTATTTTGTTTCTTTATGCAATTGATGTTAAGTTTACTTTTTAAATTCATTTTGGTTTAATTTTCTTAGTATGCAAAACATATACATGGTTCAGAAATCAAAAGTGAAAAGAAAAACCTGAGAAATTTTACTGTCATAACTCCCAATTTTTGGTTTGCTTTTCTTTTTCTTTGCATATATAAATATTAAATGTGTATTTGTGTGCATATATATTTTAGTTCAATTTCTCACTTTTTCCATTTTCTTGGTAGCTAATTGCCTGCATGAATAAGATGAGCGTGCACATGTTATTTCATAGTATTACCTTGTACCTTCAGGGTGAATGCCTAGGAACAGTCTTTTTTTTTTTTTTTTTCTTTTTGGTACTGGAAATCAAACTGAGGACCTTGCACTTGCCAGGCAGGTGCTGTGCCACTGAGCTATATCCCTGGCCCTAGAAACGGTCTTGCAGGGTCAAAGGGCATGTGCGTATACTGGTTTTGTTAGCTGTTGTTTGATTTCTTTCCCTAGGGCTGCACCATTTGCAATCCCATTTGGAGTGAAGAAGAGTAGCAAGCAGTCTTGACAATGGAGAGTGCCACCACACTTTTTTTTTTTTTTTTTTTTTTTTTGGTTTTTTGGTTTTTCTCCGGTACCAGGAACCGAACTCACGACCTTACACTTGCCAGGCAGGCGCTTTGCCGCTGAGCTAAATCCCCAGCCCCGCCACCACACTTTTGAAGTTTTGCTTATTTGAAAAGAAAAAAAATTATCTTAGCATAGTTGTAGTGTCCAATTTTTTCATTTTGAGGGAGTGAAGCAATCTATTACTTACGATGCATGATTTAAAAATATAGTGAACATTGAAAGTAGAAAAATGTATTATAGTAAAAGACACATATCCATGCATCCCCTCAAAACGCTCCCCCTCACTTCGAACACACTTGTCCCATCCTTCTTGCCACTTTCTGAAGCAGTTCTGAAATCCTCTCTCCTGAATGTCTTCAGTTGTGCTGTCATAACGGCCTCAGCGTCCAAACTGAGGAAATGAGTTCAAAACGTTTCCTTGTTGTGGTCGTTTTGACTTTGGGGAAGAGCCAGAAGTTGCACAGTGCCAGATCTGGCGAAGAAGGTGGATGAGGACAGACTGTTTTTAGCAAGCCTTCCCTTCAGTTGGATGGCACTTAGCAGCATCATTCGCCATATTTTTGGTCACAATTTATAAAGACATGAAAGAGGACTTGTACAGAACTGCATCAGAAAGTGGCAAGAACAATGGGATAAGTGTATTCAAGGTCAGGGGCAGTATTTCGAGAGGGATTAATGGCGGTGTGTCTTTTGCTGTAATACATTTTCAAAATTTAAATATTTGCTGTATATCTTGGTCACCTCTTGTACCACTGGCATGTCTTTTGACATGGTCTCTCTGTTCATCTCTTTTACCAACATTCCTCTTCTGGCTTTTCATGTATTTTTCTCTCAGCTTTTTAAGGAATTCCTTATAATTTAGGTTGATTAGTACTTTATAGGTTGTAAAATTTTTCTTCCATTTTTTCATCTGTCTCATGATACAGACTCTTTTTTTTCTAACCACCATATGGTTAACTCCAGAATGACATGGTTATGTAAAAATTTTAAGACACCAATTAATAATTTTCTTGTAAGCATCAACAAAACCCAGAACTCACTAACTAAATATAAACTCTAGCAACAGTATTGTACAGATAGGCATAACTGGCATACCTATAATATATATTCATGGCACAAAACCAGAGTAACTAAGAAGTTGCATAACTGAATTAAAAGTCAGAATATTTTAGCAGCAGCCTGGAAATATGGGCTAAAACACAAAGTAACATTTAGTGGGAATAATGTTTTGTACTTAGGCATAAAAGCATTAATTCCATATGTTCAAGATTGGGGACATCTGCCTTCACAGACGTTCTTGAATGCATAAACTTTGGGGTTCAGTGGACCACACACTCACATAAGCCCAGGAGGGTGGTATAGTTGCTATAAGACAATATGCTCATAGAATGAATATTAGGAAATTGTCCTGATTGTGGAGGAAACTGTCCCGTCACACTTGACCCTGACCAGACCACACAGAATGCTGTATTCCCTTGGAGGACCAGATACCAGGAGGGTTGTAGACATTTGTGATCAAGCATAAGCTGAGAGCTAGTGCACGGTCTGGGAACGGTGCTGTGACAGATGACCGGGAACTGGAGCACCGGGAGGGTTATGGCTGTGACCGCAGCATAGGCTCACTGCCTGGGAACCACTTCCTCTTGCGCTCAGGACTGCCACAAGGGGCGGCTGCCTTCTGACCCTGCTGTCCTGTGAGCCGTGGTGCTTTGGCAAGGAGTCAAGCCCCCGAGGAGGGCTCATGACCTGCTGTGTCTAGGCAGCGCAGCCCATGTTCTTGGGGTGTGGCTCACAGGCAGCTGTCTTGCCTGCCTTCCTGGTATCTTCTGTTCATGGAGAACAAGAGCAGGTGGGAATAGTGGTCTGTGGGATTTTTTGGCTGATTAAAGTAGATGAAAAGTTTTGGAGAAACATTCATCTGTAGGATTTTATGTAAAAATGTATCAACCTTGATGATGAGCCAAGATTCTGAGCCAGCTTCCGGAGAGTAGGGACTCTACCTTCTACTTGTAATTGAAAAATACAGTGAATATTTAATTTTTTAAAAAATTTGTTACAGTAAAAGGCACATCATTTGCTCACTTCCATACACATATGGTAAAAGACACATTGCCACCAGTCCCCTTCAAATATTGCCTTTCGGGGCTGGGGATTTAGCTCAGTGGCACAGCACCTGCCTGGCAAGCACAAGGTCATGAGTTCGATTCCTGGTACCGGAAAAATCAAAACAAACAAACACCAACCAAATATTGCCTCTCACTTCAGACACACTTATCCCATCATTCTTACTGCTTTCGGAAGCAGTTCTGGATGTCCTCTGTTGTGAGTGTCTAGCTACATTGCCATGGCTGCCTCAATGTGCTGAGTTGTTTATCATCCATGGGCATTTTGACTTTGGGGAACAGTCAGAAGTCTCTTGGTGTCACATCCAGTGGATGAGGTGGGTGAGGACACACTGTGACGCTTTTACACGCCTGCCTTTCCGCTGAATGGCACCCAGCCGCAGTTTTTACCATGTTTGTGATCAGCTCTCGTGAGGACAGGAAGGAGGATTCGCGAACTGCTTCAGAAAGCAGCAAGAATGATGAATAGGTGTGTTTGAAGTGAAGGAGTGTATTTTGAGAAGAATTAATGGTCATGTGTCTTTTATTGTAATAAATGTCTAAAATGTATTCATTTTACACGTTGATCACCCCTTGTAGACAGTGATGTCTGTGGACCAGGACCTGGGGCCACCGTGCCTCTACTTACCCACCTACAAGTAGTGCTTGGATTCTTCCCCTCTCTCACCACGTCTGTGAGAACAGTAACAGTGTCCTCGTGTAAACTGAACTTGATTGACTCCACCTGCCCAGGGAACCTGGAATAGTTCCTGTGATAATCTTACCGCCAAGCTTTAATGTCCACACAAATCTGCAGGGCCTGGGGTTAAAGTGTAGATTTTGGTCCCCAAGTGAGAGGTGGGTCTGAGGTCCTGCATCTTTAGTAAGCACCCAGTGACATAGGTCCTGCTGGTTCAGGACTTACCTGTCCCCCATGGGACACTTGCCATGCAGCCATCTGCCCCTGCCTGCTTGTTTAAAGTACAGATCCCAGGCTGAGCCTTTGATTCCAGGACCAGAGTCTTGGCTCTCTGTCCTGTCCCTTTAATGGATTCTTGAGTACCTGGAAGGTTTTGAATCACTGCTTTGGGACAGTGGATAAGGGCGTTGTGCTAGCTAGCTTTCCTTACTATGACAAAATACTTGAGACGTGAACTTATAGAGAAGAAAGATTAGGAGCTGGGGTGTAGCTCAGTAGCAGCGTACTTGCCTCACACCAGGCCCTGAATTTTGTCCCTAGCATCACACACCCATAAAGAAGAGTTCATTTTGGCTCCAAGTTTTGAAGGCTTCAGGCCATCAGCTTATTGTGGCAGGAGCCCAAGATGGAGCAGAGCCTCATGGCAGCTGGGAAGTGACAGTGAAGAGGAAAAGGCCAGATCCCACAGTTCTCTTCCACGGCAGCCCTCAGTGACCCAAAGCTTCCCACTAGACTGCACTTGCTGAAGGCTCCACCTCCTCCCAGTAGCTCCAGGCCTTTAACACAGGCCTCAGGGTTATTCCCGGTATGCATTACAGTGGGGCTTAGACCAGGAGAATCACTTAAGAACAGGCAGTGAGTTGCCCAAGGGTGGGCTGCAGGACACAGGCCCCTTAGCTGGAGCTAGTGCGGGAGGCACAGGACCTTGCCCTGCCAAGCCCCCACTTCCTCTTCCGCAAAGGGGAGACGGCACTCTCTGATGAGTCTTCTATCCCCTCTGCAGTCGCTCAGCATGCTGTGCCCACGCCGCGCTCAGGTGCACTGACCATGAGCCCCAACTCCTCCCTCGGCCACAGGAAGGAGCTGAGCAACCTTACTGCCGAGGAGGCTGGGGACGGGGGCGTCGTCACGGAGTTCGTCGCCATCATCATCATCACCGTGTTTGTCTGCCTGGGCAACCTGGTCATTGTGGTCACCTTGTACAAGAAGTCCTACCTCCTGACCCTCAGCAATAAGTTCGTCTTCAGCCTGACCCTGTCCAACTTCCTGCTGTCCGTGCTGGTGCTGCCCTTTGTAGCGACAAGCTCCATCCGGAGGGAATGGATCTTCGGTGTGGTCTGGTGCCACTTCTCCGCCCTCCTGTACCTGCTCATCAGCTCGGCCAGCATGCTCACGCTCGGGGTCATAGCCATCGACCGGTAAGTGGGCGTGGCATGGAGAGAGAGATCTCCCGTCTTGTGACTTTCGGTGGTTTGGGGTCTTTGGGGGAGGGCTAGGACCTCTGCTGCAGGAGGGTGAGCCGGCCAGTTCTGTCTCCTCTTCTCTCATTACACAGAGTGTCTCTGGTTTTACCTGTTCGTTGCATACATAGGCAAGTGCCACAAGGGTTAATGACGGGCCCCATATACCGGCAATGTCCAACCTATTTGGCTCCAGAGCCTAGTTTTGTGAAAGGCAGTTTTTCTACAGACGGAAGTGGGGAGATGGCTTCGGGATTAGATTCTCATAAGAAGCGTGCAACCTAGATCCCTTGCATGCACAGGTCACAGTAGGTTTCATGCTCCTATGAGAATCTAATATTATCATCCATCTGACAGGAGGTGGAGCTTAGGCAGTGATGTGAACCACGGGGACTGTCTGTTTCACTCCTTTGCCCCAGCACTCATCCCGCACTGTGTGGCCCCGTTCCTACCAGGCCACAGACTGGTACTGGTCTGCAGCCCGGGCCTTGGGAACCTGTGCCATATACCACAGTATATGCCATACAGTGGTGGGGAACCGATGGCACACATGCCACAGCGGGCTTTTTGTGTCATTGAAAGCTCTAAAGGGTTCACCATCACTGCACAAGGGTGTGGGACGCTGTACCGTCTAGTTTGTGTACGTGCACTCTGGTGTTTGCAGAGTAACAGAAATCACCAAATGGCACAGTGATGCGTAATTGCAATTTAGTTTTTTTAAAAGAGGTTCCAGTGCTTACAGTGAAGAGACAGAGCCGGGGAAGGTGAATGTCAGAGGAGGAAGTGAGGCCAGGTCTTGTGACTCGGTCGCAGTTTGGGCCTGCTATGTCTTACTCTGGTCCAGGCCCAGCTTGATGGCTGGAGCCTTGATGGGAGCCCCCTGCACCTCCACAGCTGGACTGGAGAGGGAACAGGGAGGGAAGATACCCGGGAGGAAAGGCAGTGGCAACCAGGAGGACTGAGTGTGCTATTTTTTCCCCAGGGACTCAACCCAGTGCTTTTTCAGTGAGCTACACCCCCAGGCCTTTTTTACTTTGAGACAGATTCTTAGCACATTACTAAATTGCCCAGGCTGGGCCCCACTCTTAATCCTCCTGCCTCAGCCTCCCAGAGTGCTGGGATTACAGGCGTGCACCACCACACCCAGCTTTCAAAACCCAGGTTGCTTCAGCCGTCAGAGGAGCTGGCACAAGGGAGGCGCGTCACCACCGTCTTCCTCAGCTGTGTCTCACAGGTGCCTCAGATTTCCTCCTTTAGTTGTTGATTGAGCTGGACAGGTCTCAGGGTTCAGGTGGCAACTTTTCAACCTGTTTTTTGGTAGGAGTTGGCTGATGGTCACTTCATTCGTCACAGGCAAGATTGGACTTTATGGGAACAGGACTGGGTGGGGTACAGATTCGAGGTCTGTAACATTTACCAGAAATGGGTCAGGGAAGACACAGAGGGCTCTAGCCAGCGAGGTGGCTCCTCAGGGACCACAGGGACTCGGCTGAGCAGTCAGCAGACTGTGTGTTTGGAACACAGACCCCCTGCTGCACCCATGAGCAGCTTCCCCTGAGCTCTCCGGGGCAGTGTCAAGTGACCTGAGCTAAGGGGTGGAATGAATCAGTGAGTTTCTCTAAATGGCTTTGCTTGTTCCGGTAGTAAAAGGAACACAGAAACTCTCATAAACTAACCAGAAGCCGGGCCTGTTTATGATTTTTGTTTTGGTTGCATACAGTAAACTTTTGAAATAAGCTCGTGGTGCATGTGGTTTTAAGACCGTGACCACGAGCGCCTCCTCTCAGCGTGAGATCCCGATGGTCATGTGGGATTCCATCTGTGGACGAAGTGCTTTCAGTCTCTGTGGCTGGATTTAGGTGGCTTCACTGTGCCCGTGGCTCTGTAGAACACTGTGAGGAGCGCATCTGTCTGTGGAGTCACTGTTTTCAGGTGGAATAAACACTGCATGTTTAGGATTCTTGGTGTAGAGCAGGCAAGTAGGGCTTCAAAGGTTTTAGGGGTGTTTGCTCAGTAGCCACTACTCAGGGGCCTGTGAAGACTGGGATATGATGTGGTGAACAGTGAGTGTGGAAGTGTGTTGGCGGTGGAGAAGACAGGAATCTCATGACTGTTCTATTATTTTTAAACATAGCGTTACTTGTCAGCCAGGCGTGGTGGTGCACATGCATCAGGCCAGCACTCTGGGAGGGCGAGGCAGGAGGATGGCAAGTTTGAGCCCAGCCTGGGAAACTTGGCAACTTAGTGAGAACTTATCTCAACATAAAAATAAATAAGTAAATTAGATAAGGGCTGGGGCTCTAGTTTAGGGCAGAGGCCCTGGGTTCAATTCCCAGTACTAAAAAAAAAAATCATTACTTTTGGAATAGCCCTGCCAGTCACGAATGCAGAGCTGTCTGAGTGAGTGTGGTGGGATCAGGCCAGGGGCTGCAGTGGGTGCCCCAGTAGGCTGCACGTGGCTCCCTCAGCCTGGGGTCTGCGTGGTGACAGTGGGGTTCTTCATCTGCAAGTGTGACACGTCTAGACCATGCGTCACTATACTTGTCTGGCAGAGCTTGCCTCTGCCAATGCCTTGTTCTTTGGTACTGAGAATGTTTGTTGGGTGCCCGCTGTGGAAGGCCCTACGCCATATTGTGGGGAGGTCTGTCAGGCCCACAGCCAGGCAGCTGAACTCCAGCACTCTGGCCTTTGGAGCAGAGTCATGATCTGTGATGAGGTGCTGGCCATCATGCAGGGTCTACAGCATCTTCCTGGCCTCTACTCACCAGATGCCAGGGGCACCTCCCCACTGTGACAGTCTGTTGCCAGATAGCCCCAGGGAACAGAATCATCCCCAGCCGGCACTCCTAGTGAAAGAAAGCTCTCAGGGCTGGGGTGCAGCTCAGGGGGAGAGTGTTTGCCAAGCATGTGCAAGGCTCTGGATTTGATCCCCAAAACCACATGAAAAGAAAGGAAAGAAGTCCGTCTCACTATTTGGAGAAATGAGCCTAAAGAGTCCATCCTGTAGCTCCCTAAAAAGAGAGCAAAGGCAGAATATTACAAAAGAAGGGCTGACCAGAGTGAAAGTCACCATTTGGGTGTCAGTGTCCTAACCCAGCTGAGTGGAAGCGGAGCCAGCCAACAGCAGTGTTGCCCTGAATACGTCGGTTCCTGCAAGTGTACCTGCAGTGACGGTCACACCGCCAGGGCGCCAGGCCCATTGAAAGTATTTCTCCTGTTTTCATCCCACACTGTGCCAGATGAATCTGGAGCTCTGAATAGCATGGTACAGTTGAAAGTAGCTAGAACGACAGGATGGTTTGTTGCCACGCAGACGATCACTAGAGCTTTCAGGAGACTGTGCCGTGTGAGTGAATGTGTTCATCCGGAGGTAGCTGTAGTGGGCTTAGGTTTTGTTTGTGTCTTTAGTGAAGACATCTTGTGAAAACAGGGATTGCTACCAAAGTAGTTGGTATAGGGCCAGAGAGCGACACATCTGGAGCCCCTTCCCGCATTCCAGCGTGTCAGTTATATGTGATATCATTAAAGCTGCTTTGGGGCCATCATATGGGCTGGTGTCTAAAAATGAGGCATTGAAGGAATGGTGGGACAGGCATTCAGGAAGCAAAAGGAACGTCTCCTCTCTGGGCCTGCATTAACCCGCCTGGGAATAGGAAGCTGCTTCTGTCTTCTGTTCTTTCCTCTTCTTTGAGCTGGAAACTAGGCATAAATGAGGTGTCTGTTTAAAAAATGAGTTTTGGAGATTTACTGCGAGGCTGTGACTTTTTTAAAACACTAAATTGTATTATATGCAGTACGTTCAAAAAACTGTACTTTTTTTTTTTTTTTTTTTTTGAGATAGGGTCTTACTGTGCAGTTCAGGCTGTCCTTGAACTTACTATGTAGCCCAGGGTGGCCTCAAATATATCATGATCCTCCTACCTCAGCCTCCCAAGTGCTGGGATTACAGGTGTGCACCACCACGCTTGGTTAACAGTATGCATTTTAAAAGGATAGTTTGATGAATTTTTATAAACAGGGTACAACTATATAACTAGCACCCCAGTACCAGTTCCCCGGAAGCCCTTGAACTGCCTTCCTGTCACCAGCCCCTATCCCGATGTATAAGCTCATATGTCAGTGTGTGCCTATTTTTCAGTATTACACACATGGAATCATTCTGTAGGGGGTAGTTTTGAGTTGGGACTGTAGCTGCATGGTCTTGCCTAGCATGCATTAGACCCTAGTTCATTTCCTAGCACTGCAAAATAAGAGAATCTTGAGCCTACAATTCAAAATACTTAAACCCACTTTTGTGCGAAGATGTGAGAATATACCTTGATAGAGGTGTGGACTTAGGCATTTCTTCCCCCAAAAGAACTGAAAGGAACCCATGGAGGGTGTTGGCAGGGCTGTGCCCAGCACCCAGCTCTGCTGCTTTGACTCCCTTTGAACTTGGAAAGAAACAATCACAGTGATTTCTAACAGCAGCTGCCCATGCCTGAGCCTGACATACCATGGTAACTTTTGTCACAGTAAAGAAGTCTTATGACCAAGTCTGGTAGTGATGGGGCATTGAGACTGGCCGAAAAGCAATCTGGCAGAGGATAGTTTATTAATTGTCATTGTTTTTATGACGGCCAGGCCAGGACTGGTCAGGGGATGCACAGCAGCTAACAGGTGGCCCTCCTGGACAGCCTCCCCAGCTGGTCATCCCTGCAGTCCTGAGGTCCCAGTACCGCATCCTCCTTAAAGGGGTAGGAAAAAGTGGGCGTCTTGGCCTTGTGTCTTCTTAGCTGTGAAGGAAACTTTTCTGGAAGCACCTCCTATTCTCACAGATTCCTTTCACACTTCACTTGCCAGGGTGATGGGGTCCAGACCAGTGCCTCCCTGGTCACCTGGGAAGGGAAGGAGGCTGCTTGAGCACCCAGGGCCCAGGACCCTGTGTCCCCATGGTTCATGGAGACTCAGCAGGGGCAGAGTGCTGCAGGGATCCTGACCCCTTGAAGGATGGGGGAGGGCTGGTGGGCAGGTGAGGACAGGCTCTGCCTGCTGCCACTCAGGGGGCAGCACGAGCCATGGTGTCTCTGCCCTGTCCGTTCCAGGAGCCGACCTGGGACACAGGTCCTACAGTTCCCACTTCACAGAAGATGGAAATAAAGCTCTGAGAGGTTAAATCAGCTCCCCAGTGTCAGAGCCAGTAGACAGCAGGGCTTCTGTCCAGCGCCTGCCACTTCCACAGGGCCGTGTGGCCTTTGCAGACGTACACTTGGGCATTAGCACCCCTCACTGAGCCACTGTGCAGCTTCCCTGTGCACTCTGCTGAGATAGCTTTCAGCCCACTGGGTCCTAAGCCAGTGCCCCCAACCTTCCAAGACCTGGGTCTTGTGTGTGGTCCCTCGGGAAGCCTGCTGTGACCCGCCCCTGTCCTGTGTGACCCGCCCCTGTCCTGTGTGACCCGCCCCTGTCCTGTGTGACCCGCCCCTGTCCTGTGTGACCCGCCCCGTCCTGTCCGCCAGCTCTTGCCTGCTCCTCCGTTCACAGGAACCACCTGTTGGTCCCAGGACCCTGGACAAGGTGGCTTGCAGGGAATTGTACACGCAGACTGCCCAGGTTTAGGTCTTGTTCTTTTCTCAGTTTGCAGCAGATTATTCAGCCTTTCTCAACTTCAGAGTCCTCTGCGAAATGAGGCTAATGGCACACTGCTCACCGTCCTCCCTCTCTGGTTGGCACCCTCTGCTCATGTCTGTCTTCCCCACGTTTTCTCACCTGTGCTTCCGGGGCCCAGCACAGCGCTCGGCACACAGCCAGCTCTCAGTAAATATCTGTGGAGGGAGTGAAGCCAATAGGCCTTGGACATCATCCTTATTCTTAGGGATTCCTCTGAAAACTGATCAGCAACGAACTGATCTGGCCTCCCGGGATCCCTCAGGACCTCTGAAGAGCCCCCAATATGAGGTAGGGGCCAACTTGAGACAGGGCTGTGAAGCTCCGTGTCCTTGCTGGAGACCCCTTCTGAGCAGAAGAGCATGGTACAGCCTGCGACCTCTCTGGGTAACACTGGGAGAAGGCGCCTCCTTTAGAAGCCCTACTACGGCTGGTCAGCTGGGTCAGCGCACCCCCGCACCCCGGAAACGGGCTGCCTGTCCTGTATTTTCCCTGCCTCTGACTCCTTTCTCACTTCTCCCCTGCTCTTTCCAGCTACTACGCTGTCCTGTACCCCATGGTGTACCCCATGAAGATCACGGGGAACCGGGCCGTGATGGCGCTGGTCTACGTCTGGCTGCACTCCCTCATCGGCTGCCTGCCCCCGCTGTTCGGCTGGTCGTCGGTGGAGTTTGACGACTTCAAGTGGATGTGCGTGGCTGCCTGGCACCGGGAGCCCGGCTACACGGCCTTCTGGCAGATCTGGTGTGCCCTGTTCCCTTTCGTGGTCATGCTGGTGTGCTATGGCTTCATCTTCCGCGTGGCCCGGGTCAAGGCCCGAAAGGTGCACTGTGGCACTGTGGTCATCGTGGAGGAGGACGCGCAGAGGAGCGGGAGGAAGAACTCCAGCACTTCCACCTCGTCCTCAGGCAGCCGGAGGAACACCTTTCAGGGCGTGGTCTACTCAGCCAACCAGTGCAAGGCCCTCATCACCATCCTGGTGGTCCTCGGCGCCTTCTTGGTCACCTGGGGCCCGTACATGGTGGTCATCACCTCCGAGGCACTCTGGGGGAAGAACTATGTCTCCCCAACCCTGGAGACCTGGGCCACATGGCTGTCTTTCACCAGTGCTGTCTGCCACCCCCTGATTTATGGCCTCTGGAACAAGACGGTCCGCAAGGAGCTCCTGGGCATGTGCTTTGGGGACCGGTATTATCGGGAGCCATTTGTTCAGCGACAGAGGACGTCCCGGCTCTTCAGCATTTCCAACAGGATCACAGGTAACTTGGGCACCTGGGAGGAAAGGGCTTCACCTCAGGCAGACCTCACCTGGGGCCTGCCTCTCAGTGGCTCTGGCCTGTGCACCCTGATTCCTCAGCCTGATGCTGGCCTGGGGCTGAAAGCACAGATTGCTGTGGGAAGGGAACACCTGAGAGCGGCCACCGTGAGCCCCAGGCTGCTTACCTTCATGTGGCAGCTCCGGGCCATGCTGATGGGAGGTCAGTGTGCATCCCAAAGGAAGTAGGCAGGGGATACCCCAAGTCTGACACCCCAGATCCTCTCCTGGTAGTGTGGCCGCTGTCCAGCATTCCCTCTCCACCTAGGTCCCTCATCCAGTCAACTCTCCCCCGACCTTCCCTGTCAAGGCAGGAGTTTCCTCCCCCGTCTCGGGTAACTGAGGGGCAGGGGGAGTGCCCCATCTCAGCCCTGCGTGGGAATGTCACTGTCCTCTGGCCAAGGCAGCTCTTTGCCTGGTAACTGGTCTAGCATCAGTCACCCCACCTTCGATGTGACTCTAGTGGGTTGCTTTACACAGGGACTAGATTTTTTTAGCTTTTTATTTGGAAATGATTTTAGATTTATAGGACAGTTGAACAGCAGTACAGAGAGCTTCCCTTGATGTTGAACTCTTGCATAACCACACCACAAGAGCAGAACAAAGGCCTGGCACATACTGGGCAAGCGCTACCACCAAGTCCCACCGCGGCGTCCTCCGTCCTTGTCCAGAGTGCCGGTCAGAGATTCGGTACGGCGTGGCCGCAGTTGCATTCATCTGATGCTTTCTTCTCTTTGGAACAGGTTCCACTTTTTTTGGGCAAGAATGCCCCCAGGGCTGTTCTTGGTGGCGTGGCTGGGGCACATCTGTCACCCTGGGTCACTTGGTCGGGTGGCGTCTGTCAGGTTTCTCCAGTGTAGAGGCACTGTTTCCTCAGGAGTGAATAAGTACAACAGGAGCGGGCTGAAGGCTGTGCACAGGTGGCTGTGGTCACAGCACTTGCTGTGCCGATCTGCAGTGACACAGCTGGGGTTTTAGGACCACGGCTGCAGGGGGCCATCCCCTGTTGGAGCTAACAGAAGATGCTGAGGGCACCTCGTTCAGACCACAGCTCTAACGTGTGCCAGATGACGCTGGGCGACGCACCAAACAGTCCAGTTCATGATTCCTCTTCGTAAAATAGGCCGCGCGCCTCCCTCTGCAGAGGGTGCTGGGAGTAACGACTCCTGAACACCACGAGCCCCTCCTGGCAGAGCTGACAGGCAGTCTTCATGTGGCAGTGCCACTCAGCAGCCTCCCTGATGTATTCACGGGGTGCTGGAGTGTTATTTCCAGTTACAGGAAGGAAGTCTGGGACTTATTTTGAGCACAGAAGTTAAAAAAAATTCCGTGTCCCAGTATTTAAACCCACTGAAATGCCCGCCCCTTGTAAGCCAGGACTGCATTCTGCGTTTGGCTCTGTTTCTCCGATTATCATCCTCAGATTGTGTAGTCACTTGTCTTCTGGCCCAGAAATGATAGATGCTTTCCGTTCTGGCAGAGAATGAAGAAGGAATAAAAAATGAGGAAAGAGAATGGAGGAGGAGCAGGGGGCAGAATGAAGAGAAACATCTGGTTTTTGCCAAGTTTTCCTTGCCAGTCACTTGCGATTGTCCCAGACCTCACGAGGCCTGTAGAGCTGGCCGCAGCGCGAGCTGTGGTTAGGGTTGTTGGCCTGGCAGCCGGAGTCTCCTCTCGTTGAGGGGGAAGCAGTCTTGTGGGATGCGTTTGGGCTGGAGAGCTCATGGGGTGACAGCCAGCGCAGCGCGGTGCCTGGGGAGTCCCTGTTCCTCCCGGAAGGGCCTGATCGCAAAAGGTGGTGGCAGCATCACGGATCGTGTGTGGAACAAGGCCCAGCCAGGGGCCCCATCACAGTGCCACTCAGGCCAGGAATGCCCAGTCCCTTCCTGATGGCGAGGAACAGCCCTGGCCTCCACCCCGTGTCCGTCTGTCTGTCTTACCACGGCTGACCAGGCCCTGCCTGACACCGTCTGTGACAGGCTTTGATCTGCAGCTGCTTCCTAAACCCAGGTCACTTCCCCTGCCATGTGCAATGTCCCGGCCACCTCCTGTGCCCTCGGGTACATAGGGGCCGTAGTATTTGCACACACCCAGCAAGAAATGCCCTGGAGGCTCTGTTTGGGTGGTCTTAGCCTCTGTTTCCATGAGCACCTGGAAGGTTTTCACCAAGGAAATCAGCAGATAGAGTCATAAGCTTTCTTAAAACTGCTTATTAGCAGAGCAGAGCAGAATCCCCCAGTCCCCCGAGCTTCCCCACTGATTTCGCGCCTGCAGTCTGCTCAGCACGGGGCAGTGGTTATTTCACGCAGAGCAGATTTCAGCTGTCATCAGTGGATTTTGGTTTTCCCATTTTGTTCACCCCAACCTGAAATAGCTTTCCCTAGAGTGTCAGGTATCACTGGCCACCAGTACCTTCTGCTTCTGCAGTCTCATCAGCAGATGCCCCAGGTAGGGCTCCCCTAGGAGTTGAGTCCTCAGGGCCTCTGGAAGGTGCCATCTGGGGCTGCTCTAGGGAAGGGCCCTGCAGCGGACTGTGGCTTCTGGTGCCAGAAGGTGAGCCTCATGCTGACTTGTGTTCTGGGGATGTGGCAGCACAGAGACAAGGCTGACCAGTGGCTGCTGTCAGTCAGGGGAGAAAGAGCTTGAGCAGGAAGGGTGGGCAGCCTCCCTCAGCCCTGCACCTAGCAGATCCCGCTCTGCAGCTCGGCCCGAGAGACCTAGCCATGTGCCGCCTTTCCTGGGGGCTGAGTGCTGGTCTTCTGGGGAGGACGACCTGTCTCTCCTTTACTCAAAGGAATGTGCCCCTGGAAGGTCCTTCTTTAGCGTCCTGGCTGGAAGGAGGAAAGGGTGACCTGTGCTTTCTTCTTGGTGGCTCCTCGAGGTCTTCCAGTTACTTCAGCACGCCGGCTTCCCCGTGGAGCACTGCCTGTTCCTTTAGCTGCTAGGAGACAGAGGCGGCTTTGACCCACTGTGTGCTCCTGGGGAAGCATGCTGGTCCCTGGGGCCTGTCTCTCTGCTCTGTTTTGTTTGGCTTATTTTGCTTTGTTGGAGGCGGCACTGGTTTATGGGAACTGTCATAGGGTAACAGCATCCTCTCTCCCGAGGGAATTGGTACCACCTGGCTGTCCTGTTTCCAGATCTTTCCACTGAGCCGCACTGGTCTGGCTCCACTGATGCTTCCCACAGGCGGAGAGTGAAACATGTTCCTGGCTTTCACTCCAGCCTCAGAGCTGCCGTCCAAAACCCGCTGTGGCTTCCGCTAGCCCTCTTGGCAGAGGATGGCCCTGTAGGTTCCGCTGCCCCTGCTGAGCCTCCTGTTGATCGCAGCCATGTTCTGAGGACCAGAGTGGGGTGGCCAGACACAGAAGAAATGTTTGAGGGTCTTCTTGGTCCCAGCCCTGAAACCAACTCCCAGTGCAGAGGGAAGTAAAAACATAGCTTCTTGTGGGATTCCCAGGAGCGAGGGAAGGAAGTTCGGGGCAAAGCTTGCTGTGCCTGCCTAGTCCTCCTCCCCATTTCCTCCTGGCTTGGGGAAGGAAGGAAAGAGTGTGTCCTGTGATCTCGTACCCTCAGAAGCACTAGGATGAATGGGGTCTTCTCCTGCCTGGGAGTATTGCAGGAGAATCAAGATTCTCCTTTATTGCCCATCAAGCATTGTCTTAACCCATTTTCTGCTTCTGTAACAAAATACCTGAGGCCAAGGGATTTGACAAGAACCGAGGTTTATGATTCTGGAGGCTGGCCAGTTCAAGGACACCATCTCCTGGCAAGGGCCTTTGTGCTGTGCCAGCCCACTGGGGAAGGCAGAATAGTCAGAACGAGAGGGGAGAGTCACTATTAGACAAAGCCCACTCTTGGGGTCCCTAAGCCGCCTCTATAGTGACATTCATCCCTCGCTAGGCCCCACTTCCCAGCCCAGTTGCCCTGGGGCTGATGCAGTCTCCTCCAGCACATAGATGTGAGGTGCATGTTCGAGCAGTAGCCGTCATTAAATCTGAGATCTGAGGAGCTTTTTTCCCCCCACACTTTTAATTTGCTTAGAGCTTTTCTGTCCATGTTCCCTTTCTAGAACCCCAACTCTTTTTTATGGCATCATTATCTTTCAACTTTATGAGGGTACTAGATTACCAATCGTTTCCTTTCCCCCCACCTCTGTCTTTCCTGCTGGCTCCTGTCCTTCCTGTCGGGTAGCCCTCGGCCATCCCATCACCTTCAGTCCCAGGGTCCCGGCGTGTGCTGGGCAGCCTGGGGCCAGGCGGTGATGGCAGGCGGGCTTCTCAGCTGCGGGGGGTCCAGTGGGGCGGGTTCATCCGGCACAGGTGCTCAGTATCTGCAGGGCTTCCTCTCGGGCTGGAATATCTGGGGAAGAGGTCTCAAGCCTCCAGCTAGGTTGAGTGGGACAAAGGTTCGATCTTTAACCCTTGGGCGGTCACTGCACAGTTACAGCGCAGGTAACATGTATTTGAGAAATATATTTATTACTAATATGCTCTGAAATGCCAAACAAAACAGCATACAGAGTTGCATTTATTACATAGTAAAATATATGATTTTAGCTTATTTTCAGTTACAATCTAGACACTGTTAAAGAAATAACAATATTTGCCAGATTTGCAGTACCTCTCATGTGTAGTATCCTACTGAATAGCACACGCCCTTATAGAACATGCATTACAGCCGAACCCATGGCTTCAGTGTCACGGCTTAACCTGAGTCACGCGAGTCACATACCGATGCGCAGCTACGCGCTGCCCTGAACCTGTGCGCCCGTAGATGTGCTGGCGTTGGAGAAGGGAGTCGCCTTACATCTCAGATCAGCCACAGCCTCCCCAGGGTTAAATGTGCAGCTTTTCATCCTTCCCTGTTTGTACCACGTCACTTGTGCCCTCAGCCATGCCTGATGTCTTCATGGCCAGAGCCCTGTGTCACTCTCTGCCATCTCTGGGGGTTGGGAGCCCCAAAACCAGGGGAGGAGGCAGTGGAGTATCCAGGTGCCTCCAGCTCTGGCTGCCTGCAGAGAGCCCTGGGCCTCAAGTCTGTGAGCTCTGGGGGCCTCTATCCAGTCCTCCCAGCCCGAGCTTGCTTTCATCCTGCCTGCCATCACCGCCTGGCCCCACGTCACTGTCCTCCATCTGCTGTCCGACTCCCCCCAATTCTCTCTCCCTTTGGGATGTTTAAGCTTCTTTTAAAAATTCCTCTTTGAGCTAGGTGTGGTGGCACAGGGCTGGAGTCACAGCACTCTGGGAGGCTGAGGCAGGAGGGACTGCAAGTTGGAGCCCCGCTTGGATGATTTAGTGCCTTAGCAAGACCCTGTCTCAAAACAAGCAAACAAAGGTCTGGGGCTGTAGCTCAGTGCAAAAAGAAGAAGACAGAAAAATTCCCTTTTGATAGTCAAGCAGGATATTTGAGAGGTGAGCGGGAAGTTATATCATCTGTGACTTTATGGAAGGTCTCCCCACAAGATCGCTGCAGTGGATGGCCCCTCTGCCGGCCTGGGTATCTGTTGGTGTTAGGAGGACTTCCTCTGTAGAGAGACCGGAGTCCTCACCTGGCCTCTGAAGTCTCTGCTCTTCCCATGCAAAGAACGACAGAAAGAATGAGCTGAGTGTGGTGGCCCATGCCTGTAATCCTAGCACCCTGGAAGGCTGAGACAGGAGGATCACAAGTTTGAGCCCAGCCTGGGCAACATAGAGAGACCTGTCTCAAAGAAAATTATTAAAAACAAAAATAAAAGGAGTGGTAGAGGCTGGGGACAAGCTCAGTACAAAGGCCCTGAGTTTAATCCCTAGAGTACTAAAATAAATAACAATGAGTAAATAAATAAGTAAGCAAGCAGAACGGAGGGCAGAGGCCAGGGCAGCGGGAAGATGGACCGGGCAGGTGCTATGCGGAGTCAATCCAGCTGTCACTGCCGACTCTGTCTTTCAGATCTGGGCCTGTCCCCACACCTCACAGCACTCATGGCTGGCGGACAGCCCCTCGGGCACAGCAGTAGCACTGGGGACACCGGCTTCAGCTGTTCACAGGACTCAGGTAAGCCCCTCTCGCCTGTGTCCCTGAGTGTCCAGCTGTGGCAGGATGGACAGTTCCCAAGGGTGTGCGGAGGCTTTTCAGGCCCACTTTTAGCTTCTCAGCATTTCTGTGCCTCAGGTTCCTCTGTCAAATGGGCGTCTCAGTGCCTGTTCTCCCCGCCATACGGTGCTGTTGGGAGTTTGGAAGTCAGGAAAAGCCTTTAAATCTTTAAGATTAAAAAAGACGGGTATTCTGTTATACAAAGGGTGATTGAAAAAGATACAGTGGATGTTTAAATTTTTAAAACTTAGTACAGTAAAAGACACATGGCCAAGGATGGTAATATAAATGATTGAAATGAGGTGGGAGTGGTTTTGTGTATTCTGAGGGCAATTAACGGTAGTATGTCTTCTACCATAGTACGCTTTTGTTTTTGTACTCGAACTCAGGACCTCGCGCTTGCCAGGCAGGCACTGTGCTGCTGAGCTGTATCCCTGGCCCACCATAATACATTTTTAAGTTTAAACGTTTACCATGTTTTATGAGCACCCCTCAATCAAACATCTATAGCAGTTTCTATCAGATAAAAAATGATGGTGTGTCCAGTCAGCCTCATTCCCTGGTTCTGACACTGAGCAAATCGGGCTCCCTAAAGTCAAAACGTGCAGGAAAAGTAAATGTTTTGAATCAGTTCAAGACAGCCACCGGGCCAGCTCAGCAAAGACTTCCAGAACTGCTTCAGACAGTTGTAAGAACAATGGGAACAGCGTGTCAGAAGGGAGAGCTAGTATTTTGAAAGGGACTCAAGGGAATGTGTCTTTTACTGTAATACATTTTTAAAAATTTAAACATATTCTGTATTTTTCAATCATACCTGGTAAGAACCATTGGGCAGCTGGGCCTTGGGGTCCACCTGCTTGGTTCCCCAACTCCTGTTGGCCTGTTAGGAGCTGAGGGGTACAAGGCAAGCTGCTCAGTCCCTCTCTAAACCCTGGAGTTTCCAGTTTGGGTGGTGGGGGAGATGCTTCTGCACACAGGGCAGCTGGAAGGAGCAGGAGACCCCGTGGCTGTGAAGCGCTGCGCAGCCCCCTGCCCACACAAAGCCCAGCAACCTGTCCTCACCCGGGCCCTGCCCGGGAACCTCCCACAAGTGCATCTCGGAGTCACGCTCTCCAGAGAGTGACATCCACACCCTCCACACGGCTCTCCCCTCACCTCGCCAGAGCCTGTTCCCAGTGCTGGTGGGCGCAGTGAATGCCACCCTGTGCCCACACAGTGTGTGCTCGGGGACGAGGAGTCGGGAGTGATGGGACAAGGTCAGCGTGATAGGCAGAAGAAAATGTGGGCTTCGGGGTCCCACAGCCCCGAGCGTGAGCGAGCTCTCGCGCAGCACTCAGCAGTTAGCTATGTCCTGCCGAGTAATGACTCCACTGGTGCAGCCCTGCGTGCCAGGCACTGCGCTGCACTTCTTCGCCATGTGTCAAATCAGGATGCCCACGACGCCGAGCCGGGCCGAGTAAGGGCGCCCATTTCACAAACACACATTGCACAGACACTGTGAGATGAGCCCCCCGCCCCCCGCCGCCACTGACCTGTGACTGCACTTCGACCCTGGTGCTGGCACCAGGGTCTGCTTGTGGCCGCGCTGTGACGCCTGACAAGGGCTCTGAAGGAGGGTGCTCCAGGCCTCCTGAGCACTGGAGCCTTGGGGGGCTGAGAGCTGGGCACTGAGAACAGGGCTGGTCCCAGAGCAGGACCTGGCACTGCAGTGGCGAGTCCCGCGTCAGCCCTGCTGCCCTGTGCCCCGTCGTCGCACCCGCCGCCCTGCTTGGTTCTCTGACAGGACTTTCTGCCTTTATTTCCCCACTCTCGCAGGGGTATGTTTTTACTCCCTTTTAGCTCCTCAAAGAACTTGAAATTTGCAAGCTTTCTGGGTTTATATAGCACATTTTAACCATGGTGGTAGAAATACGGGGTGAAACAGTCACTGCGAATGGAGCCCTCCCCTCCCTGGGCCTGTCCCCTCCCGCCTCTGCGCATTGGAGGTTCACACCCCACGGTCGCAGACTGGCAGAAGCAGGATGACAGGGTGCCCTAGGTACGGGGTTGAAGGAGGTGGGAGGGTTGTAGGCGTGGGAAGGAGGGCTGGGTGCTGCTGGCCACACGGCACTTCCGCCCTTGGTCTCAGGAACGGACGTGATGCTGCTGGAGGATTGGACCTCAGAGGACAACGCCCCCTCCCACTGCACATGCCCGCCCAAGAGGAGGAGCTCGGTAACATTTGAGGACGAAGTGGAGCAAATCAAAGGTGGGTTTCTGCAACTGATGGCTTCAGAGGATATAGGGAAAGGAGCCGTGCTCCTGCCCTAGCTCACAGCCGTGCTCAGCCCGGGACTCGCAGCCTGCTGGTCTCACATGTGTCCCAAGGCACTGTTGCAGAGTAAGCAGCATCTGAAGCCGGGTCTGGGTAGCCGTGTGACCCCATCTCCCCAGGCACGGTGCCTAACTGGGTGACGGGGTGGGCCCTCCATGGTCTCTTTCCTTTACGGATGCTGCGCAGTTATGAATCTGAGCCTCGGTCTCTTCCGAGGCCAAAGCTGCCACTGTGGTTGTCAGCCCAAAGCTGACGACAGACACTTGAGTCCTGCCGTGGTCCCCTCTTGATGCTGTCCCTCCAGTGCCCAGGCCCTGACCTCTGGTGCTTGGGGTTGTTTTCTATTAGATGTGCTAAGGGAGGAGTGACAGGAACCCGGGCTGCTTGCAGAGGGGCAGTCTGTCTCCCGGGAATCACCAGGTGAGGGTGGCTGCCAGCACAACTAAGCCGTGAATGAAATGCTAATGGTGAACATAAATCTGGGCCCACCAGTTCATAGTTAATAGGTTCACAGTTAATCTTGTCTCTCCCACCACTGCCTCCCAGCGCTGGGGAGCAAGGGAGAGGCGGCCTGGAGGGGAGAGTGGAAAATAGCCCATCCACTCCACCGGCAAAGCCCATTGGAGAGTGGGCTGTGGGCTGGCAGCCTCGCAGGCTTTATTGTATATTCCTTTCGCGGAAAACATCAATGGGACCTACCCCAGGCCCAGCCCCCACAGGACTAAGGCTGTCCCTTCACATAGGAGTCACGGTAGCAGCCTCCCTGCAGGCCTGAGAGCAAGTCACCAGCAGGAGGCGACACTGCTCAGCGTCCCTCGCTCTTTCCCTCCTGGAGAGCTGGCTTCTGGTGTTCTGCTCTCCAGAAAAGTACCCCCCGCACCCCCATAGGCAGAGAAAAACAGAGTGGCTCACCATAGCAGGGCATTAGTGGGACACTGAAGAGCCACCTCCCTGCTTCTCCTTTCATTCTGGCTGTCAGGGGTCCTATCCTAGGTAGGGTGCTTGAGCCTTTAATGTCACTTCCAACGCTGAGGTTGTGGAGAGGAGAGAGATGCTGCGTGGATGTGGAAGTTTATAGCTGTATATTCTGTGCTGTTCCAGGGAAGTAAAAGAACAGAGAACCCTTTCAAAACAGTAATCAGCATTAACAGAGAGTATTTATTAAGACTTTTCTAAATATTTTTTGAAAGAACTCATTATTACAGTAACACTGTGAAGTAACAGAACACCCCCCACCCTGCCAGGATTAAACCCAGGACCTTCACACTGAACTACGTTCTTGGGCCTTATTTTTAGCCAAGGCCTCAGTAAACTGCCTAGGCTGGTCTCAAACTTGTGACCTACCTGCCTCAGTCTCCCAGAGTGTTGGGATTACAGGTGTGTGCCGCCATGCCTGGCTGAGATCTTTTTACGGGTGAGGAGACTGAAACCATGTGGAACGGCTCTGTGTAGTGCGTAGGGGAGTCAGGGACTTCAGCCTGGGAGTCTCATGGGGCTCCCTCCCTGGGCAGGGAGGCATCTCCCTGGGATGGGCATGGGGCCTGGCTCCTCCACTGACCTCATTCTGCCTCTCCCCCAGAAGCTGCCAGGAACTCTGTTCTCCATGTGAAAGCTGAAGTGCACAAGTCCTTGGACAGCTACGCAGCCAGCTTGGCCAAAGCCATCGAGGCAGAAGCCAAAATCAACTTATTTGGGGAGGAGGCTTTGCCAGGGGTCCTGTTCACAGCACGAACCGTTCCCGGGGCTGGCTTCGGGGGCCGCCGAGGCAGCCGAACTCTTGCAAGTCAGAGGCTGCAGCTGCAGAGCATCGCGGAAGGGAACGTATTAGCTGCGGAGCAGCGATGAGGCGCCCGGGGTGGCTGGGCTGGAGCCGGAGATGCTCCCGTGGAGGGCTCCCACCACCTCGGTGCTGGACTTGGGACACAGGAGAGGAAACATCTGTGTACAGCCACCAGGGCGAATAGAACATCTCCAGTCTGTGACTCGGGGGTCCGCATGTCAGGCTCACACAGACAGCAGATGGAGGTGTGGCTGACTCGGGAAGGCGGGACGTCCAGGAGGACCAGCGGCCCTGCGCTTGGAAGGGAACCACCACACAGATTGTTTACTCTCCTCACACCCTCTGGTCTGGGAGCCCAGAGTGTACCGCCCAGAGGCCGCCTAGGGGAACCCTTCCCAGTGCACCTGAACATGGCACTATGGTTCTAAACCCTGCAGGCTTCACCCACCGGGTGACAGATGAGGGGTCCCAGACTGAGCACGAGCACCTAGGAACAGAGCGCCCGCCTGATGCACTTCCTACACACGCTCTCCAGCGGCGCCCCCTGCTGGTGCCAGTGGGCACAACCTGTAGGCTGCTGGGGATGGGTCAACCCCACCCACCTTCCAGTGGACGGATTCTTTGGTATTTCACAAGGGAGAAACCACTATAAAAGACAGAGGGGGCGGCACCCGGTGTTTCATTTCCAGAATTAGACATTTGGTTAGGACACTTCACAGTCTTATCAAGACTGACCATGGCTGTGGGGCCAAGTGCACCAGAGCCCCGCTGCTGCTGCTGTTGAAGGGAATGCCTTCACATAGGGGAGCCTCAGTATGGGTTCTGTGGGGAGTGCTTGAGTGGCCAGTGCACGTCGCTGGCCTCAGTTCCACAGGGCCTGGCCCTAGCAGCGAGTTACCTAGCATAAGACAAAGCGGTGGAGCTGCAGTTAGCAAGCTGGGTTCTTGACTCAGCTCCGTCTTTGTGCGTGTCGTTGGGGGCATTCTGTCACCTCTGCAGGCCATTTGTGAAAGGAGAAAAGGAAGTGAGGTGCTAGGCTGAATGGTCTGAGATGATTTCCAGCTCTCATCGTCTTTGTCCTCTGAACTTGTAAATGAGAGTGGATCAGTGTTTGTCTCCTTTCGACAGCTCCCAGTGGACCCTTGTCCCTGTTTCGTGGCCTTCTGGAGCACAGTCCTAGTGGAGTGTGGACCACAAAGATGTGGAAGAGAAGAAAGAGTGCGCCACCTCGAGGTGGGGTCAGGACAGCAGGTGTAGGATACATGGCCCGGCTGCTCTCCTCTCCCCTTGGAGCTGGAACAGCAGCTGAAGTTTGGGCTTGGAGTAGCGGCTGCCCTGAATTGGGAAGTCACTGAATCCCCTTCCCGCGCCACCCTTCAGCCTGAGCGATCAAGTGAACTAAGACAGCCGAGGGTAGACTCCAAGGGCAGCTCATTCTGTCCGCTAGTAGGCAGCTATTCCAGCAAGGGAACTATCCTCGAAGCATTTGTCTGGGGTCTCACTGGCTCCTGGTGAGGCAGAAGCCAGAGGCTTGCTCATCCCGGTCTGCAGTGTATCTCAACAGCTACTGCTGTTGGTCAGCTGTATGCTGCGGACCGGCCTGGGTTCGGGGGAGCAGGAGGAACCTGTGGCTTCTGCTGACATGTGCAGGACAAGCAGACACCGCTGTCACTGCTGGGTAGCATCTTGTTGCTGAGGGCAGGGTATGTTTTTGGTTTATGTACTCCATATAGTTTTTTTCTAGCACTTGTCCAGTTTCTGAAGGGACTGTATTCCCGGTTAATTAGTATGTACAAAGGTGGAACAGGGCAGAGACCTTTACCTTTGCATGAGGTCTGTGGTCCGGAGATTCTGAGTGTACTAAACTGCCTGGGCCTCGAAGAGGTGGAGAACGCTTCCCTGACTGCTGTAGGCTGGGCTCTAGAGAAACAGTCCTGAGGCTCCAACACCCACTGGCTGCCTCTAGACTAGTAAGTCAAATAGGATCGAATCTAAACAAAGATATGCTGCATTTCACAAAAGGATTCACTGTTCAGCCTTTTTATGCAATGCCCCCCCCCCCCTTTTTTTAAAAGGCAGTGTTTTGCTATGTGGTTTGGGCTGGGCTTGAACACACCTGGTAGCCCAGGCTGTCCTCCAACTTGGAGTGATCCTCCTGGCTCAACCTGAGGCCCATGCATTTGTGCAGCTGCCGGGCAGTGCAGCCTGCTGTGTGCATTGCACCGAGCCAGGCGCTGGGGGCAGAAACACTATTTTCTTTTGGTTAAGGGAAAGAGACCCGGGAGGCGCTGATTCCTGTAAGGCGGTTAAGTAGTGCTTGTGGAAAGCACGATGGCTCCAGAGGACGGTATGTATTTCCCGTGAAGCAGGTGACAGTTTGCACTAAGCCTCGGAGGATGTTTGGGAGGTAGGACCGTATTCGGCGAGGTCAGGAGTCGGATTTGCCCAGTTGAGCTGGAGGGGAGGGCGTGTTGGGGGAGGGGAAGAGCGGATCCCCACACATCCCGGCCTTCCTGGGGCGCGGTGGGCCCCCTGCCTTCGCTGCGAAGCTCAGAACCCCACACAGTCCCAGGCTCATCCGCTGTAAACCGCGGGGCAGTGGGGGCCTCCGGCCTTCCCAGAGGGAGCCGGGCAGTGGCAAGGGGGACATTTGGCCACTTACTTGCTTACATACCTCAGCCCTGTGACTTCTGGTTTGACAGGACCGCCTTGAGGCGGTTGCCCATTTCTGCTTTTCTCACCGAGATTGCCACTCAGTCTGTCCCGGCTCCACGTGCCAGGTGTGGGGCCGCCAGGAGGCGCACACAGGGCCGCACTCCGGGACGAGCTCCGGCCTCGGACATGAGGTGGCAGCCTCGAGGCTGTGCGGAGCTGAGGGCACCTCCAGCCGCTGGTGGGCCCGGGCTCTCGCTGGGACGTCTTCATTAGTGACTCATCCTTGGCATTGGCAACCGAGGGCCACTCAGGCAGCGTGCTTGCGTGTGACCCCGCCTGATTCTCAGGTCCTGCCTCTCCTCGGAAGCGCGCCACGGCTCCTGGAGCTGCGGGCGTGTGGCGCGGGAGGGGCCCGGGGTGCCGTGGGTTTTCTTTTTCATTTGCAGAGCTGCTGTGTTGCCTTTGTAAAGAATTGACCGACCAGGGACACTCCTTCAGTATTTGCAATAGGCCACAGCAGTCTGGGTCAAGAAAAGGAGGGAGGTACAGTGCTTTGATAGAGAAAGAGGTCGGGTTAGTTTCCGCGAAGCCAACCAAGAGCACTGTTCATTTCGACGGCGCGCTGAGAGCAGACCACTGCAGGTGAGGGACTTATCCCTGGACTGGCCACAAGACACTCATGACGGGTGTTCAGCCTCGAGCCGTCTGTCTCCTGTCCCGATGTGACAGTGAGCGCGGAGTGGCTGTTAAGTGTCTGCTGTGGGCCAGCCTGGTGACACCGAGAGCCCTTGTGGGAGGCACTGTGAGGACCTCTTGCTCCACGCTGTCTGCTTTGGCGCCGTTGGGATACAGAGGAATGGTGCAGGCTCAGCTCTTACGTTGCGTTGAGCTCCCTGATTGGCTGAGTGTTCTTGGGCAAGTTACTCATGTTTCTGCATCTGTAACATGGAGTTTTGTAACCTTTTATGTGGAGACGCAGAGGATCCAGACGCCTCCCTTTACACAGGGTGGTCGTGTGGATCCCGGGAGGAAGTACTTGTAAATCGTCCGGCACATACCTGTGTGTAGGCAGAGCTGAGCTTGTAGCTTTTGTTCTCAGTAACTGTGAGGGGGCTGAATTATTCTTGTTCGAGAGATGACTATAACACGAAGTGAGAATCTTGAAAAGGTAACTGTTATCCTAGATTGGAGGTGTTGACTGCTGTTGCCACGGGACTTGTCATTTGCTGTGCGAGCAAAAAGACTTGCAGCAAAGAATGATGGTGAGGCGGGGAAAGGCAGTGTGGAGAGGAACGGCTCAGTAGCATCTGGAACACTCGAGGTCTGAGGGACCAAAATGAACTTGTTATGAATATTTTGCCCATGTGCCAATGCCCTATTTGCACAAAGTATTCCAAAGCTGCCCTGATTGTCTGTTAAAGATGGTTTGCAGTCCCAAATCGCAGCACAGAATCCATGACCTTTACAAGGGACCTTGTCCCTGAGCAGTGCCCTCAGGTGCTGAGGGAAGACGGAGGCAGGGGGAGGTGTCCATGCTGTCACCATGGTGTGTGCAGCACCCTGAGGAAGCCTGTGGTAGAGGAAGGGGAAGTCAGTCTACACCCGAGGCACACGGAAATGGCTGTGACGAGCCCTAAGTGACTTCGAGAAGGGGCAGACTGGTACCGTCACCATCCTAGCAAGGAGGGGAGGGGACAGAGTCCTGGGAGGATGATGTTAACGGAGAGCTCAAAGTGAGTTATGCCAATCAGAGCCAAACTCCAGGTCGTGGCCACAGGGCTGACTGAGGGAAGGAAGGAGCAGCTTTGTAGCTCAAGGATGAGGAGGGATGGTTAAGTCCGCACTGTCAACAAGGCCAGCTGTTAGCTAGGCAGGATGAAAAGGAACCACTGTCATCCACGGAGCTTGTTCTACTGGCCAGGCCTAAGAAAACAAGAGATTGTGAAGGTCCAACTCAAGTGGACCTGTTGGGAAGAATTCGAAGCACAAACCCAACTCTGCACGATTACCAAGAGCACATTTTTGGTCAGTGTTGTTTTTAGGAGAACATAACACACAAAGCTGTGTTCATTTTCCTCAGCAGTATTAGGAATTAGTAGACACTTGTGTTTTTCCTTTTGACTACCGTTTTGAAACACTACAAATTACAGGGAAGTCAGCCCCTCCCGGAAGAGAGACAGGCCCGTGCAGGCAACACACCAAGTGTGGCAGAAAGCCTGTGTGCACAGAAGTGGGCCTGTCAGCCAGGGCTGTGCACACGGCTGAAGGACAGCCGTGTGTTCTGGTAACGGACACTGCATGCACAAGTGGCTTAGGACCAAACTGTCAACCAACATGATCCAAGCTAGTCCTGAAATATATTTAACTTGAAGTTTTTGGATGATTTTTTAAAAATAATGTTTTGGGTTATTATAAATCAGTATTTATAAACCAGTAAAAGTGTATTTAGAATAGTTTTGTTTATATGATTAAATATGTTTCTGGTACATGTGTAGCTGTGGAAATTGTGAATTTGTACTTGGACTTGTGGTCTGTGGATGTTTCTGGGTGACTTTCCTTTCCCCTCATTTCCTGCAGCAATAATCCTGTTTCCAGTGGGCTAAAAAGACTAAGCCAGGGGTAGATTATTGGAGAATTGAGGGGGAGGTCCCATATCAGAGTCACCCGGCAATACCCATCCACGTGCTCCCCCCAAGGCAGTTACATTCATGGAACACTGTTAAATGATTTGTTACCACGCCCCCCCAAAACACGGTTAACCTAATTTTGAAAGTTGGTTTAATGAACATCAGAACTTTATCTGTTCGTCAGTCAACAGCTACATATCCTTCATCCCATAATCAAGAGAGGCTGAGTGGCAGATTGTACCAGTGAGACTCAGACCTCCGCAGGGGAGCGCACCCACCATCACACACGGAAGTCATCTCCCTTCATCCGTGTCCATGCGCCCGTGGCCCAGTCACTTCACCTCCTCCACCCAAAATCTAGGCAGTGGCCAGGATGTGGTAACTCTGCCTCTGTGGAACGTTCTCTTTGCTGCTGCCCTGACTGCTTGTCTGGGTTGCTGTACTTCTAAGTAATAGACACCAAAATTCCCTGCAGTTGCGGTGGGCGGGGAACCAACTCCTCCGACAAAGGGTACAGCAGTTTTAGGTTCACAGGAGAAAGCCGAGCACAAAGTACAGTTCCCATACTTCTGCGGCCTCCAACACGCAGCTCCTCCGCCACCACCGTCCTGAGCCAGGGTGGGCAAATGCGTTTGACTTTCTCCTGTTGCTTTCCCTTCCAGCTCCTCCCAGAAGCCCCGAGTCCTCCAGTGGCCTCTGTCCTCTTTTCCAGCACCTTCCGTGGCACAGCCCCATTATGCTTCATTATAGTGGAAGAAATAACAGGGCACACGCTGCATCCTAACACAGCCATGCTGCAGGGAGCAAAGTGTCCCATCCTCTTCAGGAGAGAGGCTGTCCTGCCTCCATGGCCATCCATGGCCCAGCTGCAGACAGGTCGTAGCTTAGAGTAGCTCAGTCCCTTCCTGAGGATATTTAGATTTCTGAAAGTGATAGGAACATCTAAGTTACTTGCTAACTAAACCAAAAGGGATGTATCATCAATGAAAGTGCAGCTGCTATGTATTTACATTCACTAAAACCATCAACAGAGGGAGACCCCAAGCTGGGCACGGTGACACACACATTAATCCCAGTACTCAGGGCCTGAGGCGGGAGGACTGAGCTCAAGGGCAGCCTGGGCAGCTCAGTGGGAGCCTGTTTCCCATGTGCACCGGCACTGGCCTCAGCCGCCGCACAGCTACCACGGGTGTGGATCTACCCCGGGGCGGCCGGAGGCAGAGCTGCTGTCCGTGGTGCTGGGGGAGGGACCTCGTGGACCTGCAGGCCTGACCCGCTGGCGGCGGTGTCTGCCTCATTCAGGCAGCTCCGGAGGGCTGGCTCGAGATGCGGGCAGTGATCAGGCCAAGTGGATAATCTGACTGCTTCAGGTTGTGATGGAGGAGATGTGGTAAAGATGTTCACTAAGCGAACTGTAGGTCACGGCTGCTGGGGTTACCTGCGTCCCACAGGGAGACAGTTCTGAGACTGCTGGAAACCCGAGGTGGCTACCGCTGGAAAAGGGAGAGTCAGTGTGCTCTTCTAGAAATCTGTTAACAGCAAAAGCCACCCGAATGTGTCTTATTTAACACTGAGTGTGTGGGGAAGGGAGGCAATGAGGAGGGAAAAGGGGCGAGAGGAAGAGAGATTTGAAATGATCCTCTTGGACCACTTGACCCTGTCGACACCTCTGCCACACTCGCCTTTTTGCCTCCAGTGTGTAACGAGGCAGCAAGCTGACTGTGTCCTCCCACCCCAGGGTCTCACTTCAGACAGAGGCCTTGGGCACAAAGAGAGCTGAAAAAGCAGCCAGGGAGGCGGGCACAGTGGAGCTCCCGTCACCCCAGTTGCTGGGGGGGGGGGGGGCTGGCAAGTTTGAGCTGTCCAGCCTGGCAACTTAGTAAGCCCCTGCCCCAAAATGACACATTATAAAAACGGCTACGGGGGAGCTCAGTGCAAAGAACCCGAGTTCAATCCTCAGTACCGTCAAAGAAAAAAAACGAAAGAAAGAAAGAAAGAAGGGGAAGGGCTGTCTGCAGGAGCAGTTTCAGATCATAATCTGTAAGGCCCGAGTGTCAGATCTGTAGGCCCTGCCTGAATGTAGGTGGACACTAGAATTGAGACCGGAAATTAGAAGACTACAGAGTCAACAACTTGCAGTGAAATCTAGAATATGGACAGAGACGTACACCAGAAGGGGTGTGAAATAGTGTGAGGCATCCCATGTTCAGTGACTGAGGTGCCATGTCTGGAGGTAAAGAGAAAGGACCATGGAAAGAAGCTGAGGTGGTGGCGCACATCTGTAACCCCAGCACTTGGGAGACGGAGACGGGGACAGCAAGCCTGTCTGAAGCCAGAGTGGGCTCCAGAAGAAGCCCATCTCAACAAACAAAACAAAACAACAAGAAATAAACACTTTAGAAAGAGAAATGAAAACAGCTCTTCTACCACACAGAAGTCAATGGAAACGATTATTAAATCCAGGAAACGATAGAAAAAGTCCTTTCATTACAGAAAAGCTTGGAAAATATGCGTCAAAGTAGCAAGGCACTAAATAAAAAGTCAAATTTAGGGTATCTTAAAACAACCAATTTCTTTAATTAGAAAGCAACAAACATGCAAATGGCAAGTGTAGAAATTTATTTGAACCAGCATTTTCACTATAATGAAAATTACTCTTCAACATTGATCTAAGCTCCCACATCTGAAGGCGAGGGGAAATATTGCACTTTGCAGTTTCTAGCACTCCTCATACACAGCAAAAAGTTTTACAAACATTTTGCTAGTTTTGTTTTTATACACTCTCCCAAATTCATGCACACACTCATTCCAAATCAATGTTAGGTTATCCCCCAAAAAGGGAAAAACTCCAAAAAACCATAACCTTAAAATTGCACTAAAGTTCTGTAAAGAAAAAATATAGTAAATGTCTTGTACAAATTTCAGAACATTGAAGTGCTTGCCAAAAAAGTTGATTATTCCTCATCTTCGTTTTCATTCTCCTGACCGGAGCCTTCTGATCTGTCACCCTCCAAGCGGTCTGGAAACAGAAAGGAAAGTCACAAAGAGAAACACTCATAGCATTACAATTATAAATCAACCTCAATGCCTTTTATTTAAAACTGATTAAAATACTAACTAGTTCACAAAAATGTAAAATCTGGTCACTATATATGTAGGAAAGTTTTTCCTTTTGTCTGTAGAGGTAGAGGCAGAGCATGGCCAGGTTTGGATACACATAGAACTATAACACATAGAAAATGAAAAACCCTCCCAAGATCCCGCTGTATTCTACTGCAGTGATCTTCCGACAGCATTCCTGGGAGCTGTCACCAAGGAGGGGTCAAGTGCGTGGGGTGAGGACAGGCTGGTGAGGGGGAATACGGAGCCACTTTCTAGAGTGTGGTATTTTGTTTATTAATTTTGGGCTAAAAACCATGCAGTGGTGGCCAAAATAAATATGGTCTCTACCCTCGAGGTAGATTATTTAGGTTAAATACTCAAGTAAATACATATAAAGGGTGGCAGGCACAGACTGCTTTCTCAAGCTTCTGTGTTTACACTTGCTCTTCCTTTAACTTGGGACACTTTCACTCAGCTCTTCAGCAATAGAAGTCTGCTCAGGGAAAGTTGGCGAAACTCTCCCGGACTTTCCCAGACACCCAAACTGCAGAACTCCGATGAACTCTGCAACACGTGTCTTCTGTGAGCCTTATGAGGACAACCCCAGCAGGCAATAATGGTTGTTTGTCTTAACTTCTTGCAGACTAGACTGTGAGGCCCTGGGGGCGGGGAATGCTTTCTTTCTAAAATCTTAACACCCTCACGGCCTCGTAAGGGATGCTCAATAGTTTCTCCCCACACCCTTTTTCTTTTCTTTGCAGTGCTGGGGATTGAGCTTAGGGCACATACATACTAGGCGAGTGCTCTACTGCTGAGCCACCCGCCTCTCCAAGGCTGCTACATAAATGAGTATTTTCAGGAAGGTAAGATGTATTGCATTATGGTATATGAAGATGGCGACACCATAAAATCACTAGCTCCACAAAGATGGAACCCAAGATACTTAGACCACAAAACATTTTCCCAAGGTGGCATGGAAAATATTCAGGTCAAGCATAAGATGAACAGTTCAGTCACACTGTTGACAGCAAGGAAAGACTAACCCCTCCATTTTGTGTATGATCTACAGAGGCTGACATGTTCCCACGGGATCCTAGATCAACAATATCAAAGGGCAGTACACAGAACATGCTACATGTTTATTGTCCAAGTAAATTAAAACTGCTCTTATGTATATAAGGTTAATAATTTTTTTTTTTTTTTTTGAGACAAGGTCTTGCTGTATAGTTCAGGCAGGTCTTGAACTCACTATGCCCTCCCAGGCTGGCCTCAAACCCACAGCAATCCTCCTGCTTCGGCCTCCTGAGTGCTGGGATTATAAGCATGCACTGTCACCATGCCTGACCTGATTTATATTTTTAATTACACAAATTTTAGTTGTATATTGAATGTAAGTATTGAAAATGCATTTGTAAAGGAAATGGACAAAATAAAATGTAAGTAGACCTTCATAGATCATAATGAACCTCAACATAGAGGAATTATTTCTGACCAATAAAATGTTCACTTGAGGGATGTTACTATAGAATTATTTTTTTTTTTTGCAGTGTGGGAGATCAAACCCAGTATGCTCAATTTTAGTCAGGTTCTACCACCAACCAGACTCCTCCACAACCTGTGAGATTACATTATTTTCACTGTGTGATACCCTTTCAGGAAAGCACACAACATTAAATTATCTGCTTAGGTGTAGATCTCGAAGGAGAATTCTGGACAGGATGAGCTAGTTCAAGAAGCCCATTCTGTCCTGTTGGGGGCGCGTGAGGAAGCACTATCGGTTTATCTTAAAGTGTGCCTGCGTAAGTTTCTTCTGGGATTAACACCAAAAATGAAGATGGGGAAGAGGCTAGAGAAGGGACATCCCAGCCTCTAAGCCTCTAAGCCTCTAAGGAGTCTGCAGGAGAGGTCACAACTCTGCAGCCCAGAGCCCGCTCCAAGGAGACAGGTGACGGAGGCAGAGAGCGTCCTGTCAAAGAGCACAGAACAACTGAGGCGTCTCTCGCTGTGTAAAGCCAACCTCTAAGAATAAACTAAATGAAATCTGCCGTTCACACAGTGCTACAGCAGTACAAATGCAAAGCAGCTCAACACCTTCACAAATCCCTCGCTGGCAATTAGAGACCAAAGAAGCTGAAGAACACTGTGTTCTTTTAATAGGAAACTCAGTAAGAATTGCTTCTGTATCCACTTTTCAAAGGCAGACAATGGCAAATCGATTTAGTCAAGAAAATTTAAATTTGTGGAAAGGTTCCTTATTCTGTTTGAATATTTTCTGGAAATTATTTTGGCTAGGAAAGATATAAGGAGATATTAAGTTTGAGGGAGGGGATATGAGACAAATTCCCCAAAGAAAACTTATGTTTCATAAAAATACTCTTGTTTTATTTTGCAGGATACCCTTTGCAAAAAATTTACTTTCTTAAGAAAAGAATAAATATAACATTTATTAGTAGGCCGACATTTGGTTTCAGAAGCTCATTCTTTTACCCATTTATTCAGCAAACATTTACTGAGCAACTATTATGTGCAGACACTGTTCCAGGAGCTAAAAATCCAGCTGCAAATGAGACAAATTAGGTCTCTGCACTGGGGATGTGGCTCAATGGTAGAGTATTTGCCTAGCACGTGCAAGGCCCTGGATTCAATCCCTAGCCTGGCGGAAAAAAGACAAACTGGGTTTCTGTTCTTCATAAGTTCACTTTTAGAGGAAAACAAAATACATCATTCTCCTCTTAACGTATAGAAGTATGAAAAGTTAGGGTGCCGCGTACTTGAGGGAAATAAAGCAATGAACAGCGACCAGGTAAAAGGGAGGGTGGGTGTGTGTGGCAGGGGGGATGAAAAGCAACACGGCGCCAGGGCGGCTCAGGAGCCCAGCGATGCGGGAACTGAGCGTTCTGGGGGCAGAGTCCTCGGGCGAGCACAGCAGCGCTCACAGGCTTTGTGGACCGGAGGAGAAGACAGCGTGTGGGCACCTGGAAGGCAGAGGGAAGAGAGTGGCTGCCGGGTCTGGCTCACTGGGCAGGACCTTGCACAACAGAGTAAGAGGTCTGTTTTATTTTAATAGTAATGGGGAGCCCTGGAGAGTTCAAAAGGCGGGGCATGATATAATCTATGTTTTCACAAAAGGCGTCACCAGTTTGTTTAAAAATTGCCAGTGCCACCTCCAGCCATTCCCACACTCTCCCTTGCGGGCAGCTTAACCACAACGGCAGGCTGAGTGGTGGCGACAGGCACCCGGCGGCCGCAAAGCCCCACTCATTCACATCAGGCTTCCCCTTTCTTTCCTCCTTCTTCCTTTTCCCCTGGTACCAGGCACTGAAAACAGGGAGCACGGAGTTACATCTCCAGCCCTTTCAATTGTTTAAGTTTTAAATTTTGAGATAGTTTCACTAACTTGCCTACTCTGACCTTGAACTCATCACTCTCCTGCCTCAGCCTCTCAGGTGGCAGGAATTACAGGTGTGTGGCAGCCGGCCTGACTACGATCAGGTTTTAAAAAGAAATTTACCGAACCCTTTGGCAGCTGTGTGAAAGTCAGATCATAAGAAGCATAAATGAGACCCACGGAAGATGATTATGAGGGATAATCTGGAGGAAAGTTAGCATCATTTGCTGATGGGAGGAATCCGGGGAGACTTGGTTAGTGGCTGGGAGCTTAGTTTGATGGCGGCCTCTGTAACCAGTTCGCCACAGAGAAACTATACCTATCTAGAGCTCCACATGCCGAGGTCCAGGGCTATGAAGGGCAGAACGGTCAAGAAAAAATGTACAATTTTAGAAGACATGTTCATATGTTTGAACTCTATCCTAAGAACATGAAGAGGCACAGAAGAATTTTAAGGAGGGGAGGAACGTGCTCAGATTCTAAAATATCCTAGACATCAGCTTCCAAGCCCTTCCTTCCCTTCCATTTACAGTAACACATTCAAGTCATTAATGACATGTGAGCCTCTGGCTATCAGATCTCAAACTGGATGACGATTCAGCCGACCAGTATGTACCAGTCCTGACATCCCAGGCCTGGTTTCCAAAGCAGTTCAAAGCTTTTAGGTGTCAGAACTGCCTGCACATCCCAAGAAGCGGCCTAGACTGGAAGTCTCTAGCGCAGTATTTATCCAATACAGTAATTTAGGTAGATTTTTAAAATACAGAAGATCATATCCTATTCAGACGACACTGAGTCAGAATTAGGGGATGGAACCAGGTATTGGTAATTTTAACTGTCAACCCCAAGAGGTAATTTGAAGAAGACTCCACTAAAAATCGCAGGCTTAGTAGGAAGGAGCTGTCTCATTTAATTCCTTGAACTTCCTAAGAAGCAATGTGGAGTAATAAACACGCGGAGGCAGTCTGTGGTTAGGAGGTGCTTATGTGACCAAGGTCCAAGCCTAACTCCCCAGATTACGTATATATTACTGTACTTGGGAAGAGGCGAGGGAAGGCGTGGTTGACTAGCTGGGTGTGGCGGCACATGCTTGTAGTCCCAACACTCTGAGGCTAAGGAAGGAGGTTCCCAAGTTCAGGCCCCAATTTAACAAGACCCTGTCTCAAAAATAAATAAATAAATAAATAAATAAAATGGGCTGGGAAGGGAGCTTAGTGCAGAAGTGCTGGGATCAATCCTCTGTGCTGGAAGACAAAAGGAAAGAAAACAGAGTGGCTGACTGACTGGTCTATCAAATCACTAGGTGTTGTATGGACAAAGCACAAACATAAATTCTTGGGCATCTCATTCTAGTTTTTGCTAAGAGAAGCAAGATGAGCTGACCAGACCCACTTGAAATTATCTATCTAGCTGTGATTAATGGCGAAAGGAAATGGGATCTGTACAGTATAGAACACCTTATTTACCCTAAAACCAAAATGGACAGTAGCTAACAAACCATTCTCACATTAACATCTGTTTACCAGATTCCTGCGTCCTGCACAAGTGGAAAGAGAATTCATTTTCTTTAGGAAAATGTAAGGGGCTGACCACCACACAGATTGCAAGGGCAAGTGTATTTGAGAGTAATAGTCAACAAATGTTTTCCTTGACCTACAGAATGCTGTCTTCTCAAATCTAAAATACAAGTGGATGGATATTCAGGGTTATTCACTCATTACTGACAAAAATGGACCAAAGGATGTTACAGTGATTAGTTTAATAAAACAGGAGCCCAAAGAGGCACTGCAAAAATATTTTGTTAGCTGCTAACATTTTTGTTTACATTCCTCGTTTTGCCCATTTGAAATTTTTCTTTTTTCTCAGTAATAGTGAATATGTACAATTTCAGGATATTTTTTCCTCTCTTAATTACCAACATATAGGGCTTCTTTCAATTTTTCAAATACACAATACAGTCTCAGCCTAGACAAACGTTGTATGCTGCTTACTTTGCTTGAATATTTCTCTCTCCATTCCTCACTCTTTCTGAGGTGATATTTAATGCACTACTTATTCAGACTTCCGTGATAAGTAGAAGTTATATGAACAAAAAGTTAGGATGGAAGGGCAGCAGCACACTTATGAAAAACTTGAAGTGGAAGAGTTTGGTGTATACCCCAGATTCAAAGGGGGTGAGTAGGGGCAGTGGTAACAGGTAGGAAAGAATGCAGGAAATGAACCAGAAAAGCAGTCTGAGATCAGATCATCCAGAGGCTTGCATGTCATTAATGACTTGAATGTATTACTGCAAGTGAAATTTATATATCAAATGGAAGCAAAGGCTTGGAAGCCGGTTTCAAGTTCACATCTTGACATTTATCAGGTGTGTGACCTGGTATTAAAAACAATCCACTTTGTAAAGCGTTGGAATTAAATGAGGATATATGTTTATGAAATGACTAGTGCAATACTTGATGTACTGTGGGTTCTCTATGACGGTGGTTGTCATTAATAAAAAATAATACCCAATGTACAAAAAAAATTATGAATCAGTGAAGTGGTACGGTCTGTACTCGGAGAAAAAAAGGAAAGCCGATAAAAGTTATCAAGTGACTGTCTTTTCATTTTTACCATTTTCAACAAATTTAGTTTATGAAGAAGTAAGCCACTGTGCTAATGTCAAGTGCTCACAAGCGTCCTAGTTCAGACGTTCAGGTGCTTCTTTCATTTCTTGACATTAAGGAACGGATATGAAACAACCCTGACTGTTCGAGTCCGCTGCACACTCTTACCCGCGCGGATATGATTCAGTGACGCCAGCATCCTCAGCATGAAAGAGGCTGGAACAGTGATGGTGTTTCTAGTCTCTTCCAGCATGAGTTCGTTTCGAGTTATAACCTACAGGCAAGTTAAGCAATCAGGTCAAAAATCACAGAGTCATTTTATTTTTTCCTTGAAGATTATAAAAACAAAACCTAGCAGATTCTAGGAAAAATTACTTCCTTATATGGGTGATGTCTGTATTTCTGCTTTATGGCTACTCAATACCAAATAGTTACTTTATCTTACATTTAAAGGAAGACTGGAAGATACTACTTCTCATCAACTGGTAGAAGGGCAAGAATTAAATTTAGCTTTTATTTGTAGCAGTTTATCTCAGAGCAGTCTACTTTGTGTGGCTCTCTTTTTTTCTCTATTGTGATACTTTCAATAACGTAATGTTCATTTGTTATCCCTAGGTAACTTTTTTTACGGGGTCTTTTCCAGACAGCGTCTCGCTATGCAGTTCAGGCTGGACTTGAGCTCACTTTGTAGCCCAGGCTGATCTCGAACTTGCAATGATCCTCCTGCCTCAGCCTCCTGAGTGCTGGGATTACAGGCATGTGCCACCACACCTGGCCCCTGGGTCACTTTGATCCCTTGAGAAGATGCTACTTGGTGGCAAAGTAGTCTTGATAGCTAAACTTCTGGGCAAGACTTAGAAATAAACAGACTCTTAAGTACTTATTAAATATTCATGAAATCCTAAGGACCACACATGTAATCATGAGCAAAGGTACAAAGAAAGAGAAATAGTAAAATGTATGGCAAAAGAAAAACAGAGAGAGAGACAGAGAGACAGAGAGGCAGACAGGCAAGCATAAGAGGAAAAGGAAAATCACAGTTTAGTTTTCCAATGATGACAATTAATGCCCAACTCATCCGGGTACCCACTGGCCTCTACAGTCTTGTCCTACCTATCTTTTCAGTCTGTCTGAACTATAGTACTTTTGAACGTGCGCTCTAAGACTCCAGGCACACTGGCGGTGCTTTTACCTTACGACTCAGCACACGCTGATGCCTCTGTCTCAAAAGTTCCTGCGCTCCCTCTCCGCCTGGTGAACTATTTCATTACTTCTCAAACATCAGTCAGATTCTTATTTCCTTGAAAACACCTCCTCATCCCATCTGCCCCACTTAGCAGCACAACTGTCCCTGTGTGCATGCTTGCAGAGCACGATCCCTCTCTGATCCCATAGCTCTAGCTGTCTGTCTGTGTGGCTTTCCTCCTAGCACGTGAGTTCTGAGGCTATGTCTTTTTAAACTCAGCACTGAGTCTGACCAGCGGGTTTTACAATGATTAAGTGTTTTACAATCTCCATTACATGCATGAAAGAAAGCCTGTGACTGTGGCACGGAACATCAACCTTGGCTGAGGAGGGGTTTTCCAGGTTGCAAGGTTTTCAGGTTGCAGAACAGACCCTCGTTTTACTAAAAAATCAGGTGGACACCCACCAACAAGAACCCTGGTGGAAATTGGAAAGTGTTTTGTTTTCTTGAAACAGGGTAGCCCAGGTTGGCCTCAACTTTTTGGCAGTCCTCCTGCTTCTGCCTCCCGAATGCTGGGATTACAGACATGCAGCACCACGTCAGTCTCCTATTATCCACATTCTCTCTCCCAATTCTGTAGGAAATCTAGGGCTTCACAGAACTCAGTGTGAAAACCTCTGTTTCGGAAAGAAGCTAATACAGTGATAATTGCTTATTCTGCTACTGACTGATACTAAAGCACAAAGCCCCCTTTCCTCCTTAAGAAAAACCCAAAGCAGAAAATGGCTGTATGATGATTACGGGGGATCACTCGTGGTAAAACTATTTTCTTAAAAGAAATTTTTATGATTTTTAAAATTATACTAAGCACAAAACTTTTTCTTAAAACACAAAGTATCTGGTATTACTAATAATAACTAGTGAGATACTGTCTTGACTTTACCTCTCTAGTATTATAGGCATGTTTTAAATTTTCTTTCTTCTATGATTTTATCTCCTAAGTGTATTAGCTTTTTTTTATGTTACCAATAATAAACTAATTTTTCTTTGGATATTTTAGGAAAAAACTGAAACATGGTCTGTAATAAGTATAATAAAAATCTTACTTCATCAGCCAGTTTTCGATTAAAAAACCTTGATTCCTCTAGTGGTGACCAGATCTTTATGTCATAATCTATGCCAGATGAGGCTAGAACTAGAAATGAAATTTATGTATTAATATAAAACTTAGAAATAGGCAATTAATTCAAGACACAATACATATATCAAACATGTATGTATATATACTGGAAATTTCATCAGGAATGAAAATTTTAAACTATATATGTAATTAAGAATATTATTCTGAGCCGAGCATGGTGGTACATACCTGTAATCAGCATTTTGGGTAGCTGAGGCAGGAAGACTGCAAGTTTGAATTCAGCCTGAGCAACTTAGAGAGAAACACACACACACACACACACACACACACACACACACACAGAGACATGAAAGGGGTTTGGGGTATAGCTCAGTGCAAAGACCCTGGGTTCAATCCCCACTATTAAAAAAAAGAGAGAGAAAATATTTTTAATATTTAAAGATTTCCTGAAAGTAACCTAGAACTTAACTTTAAGATCATCTTTTAAAAATTTTGTTTTGTTTTCTTTTTTTGAGACAGCATAGGGCAGGTTGGCCTCAATCTTTTGGAGATCCTCCTGCATCAGCCTCCTGAATGCTGGGATTACAGATATGTGCCACCACATCTGGCTCAGAACCATCTTGAAGTGACTGAAATGTCTGACTTATTCATTTTTCTGAGGTACGTGGCACTTTAAAGCAGAAAGCAAAAGCAAGACAGTGTTCTTTCATTCTGATAATTTAGGTATGTGAAGACTCTTAAAAGACTTAGAAGTTCACTTTGGATAAGTGAGTTCAGTCATGCTAAACCTTTTATAGCTGATAAAACTTGGAAGCAGGGGCTGGGGATTTAGCTCAGCAGCACAGCGCCTGCCTGCCAAGCGTGAGGTTGTGAGTTCGATTCCCGGTACCGGAAAACAAACAAACAAACAAAAAACCTTGGAAGCAATATCAGAAGAAGAAACTCTTTATTTCCTTAGCCCTTCTGCTAAAAGCAGATTCTTTGTAAACCCAGGCAGAGTTATAATTGACATAGTGGTATTTAGGATAAATTGGACAATGTTTTGTTTTGTTTTGAGACAGGGTCTTGCTATATGTAGTTCGGGCTGGCCCTGCACTCAGCCCAGGGTGGCCTTGAACTTGGGGCAATCCTCCTGTCTCAGCCTCCCAAATGCTAGGATTATAGATGTGTACCACCATACCTCGCTTGGATTATCCTTACAATAGTAATAACTAGAAAAATATTGGAGCTGATGAATCACACAAACCACTTCTAGCCCTTGTCTATGAAATACCGTCTTACTTGGGTCAAATGGATGTGGCTGTAGACAGTTCACCACGTGATTATCCGCTTCCAGAAGCATCAAGTGTTCGGCAGTGTGCCGATCCCAGATGAAGATATGGCCACAGTCAGAGCCGCTCATTACGAAGTTAGCACCCCAGAAATTGGCTTCTTTTATCTGTTTTTAAAAAAGCAAATTATAAGAAAATTCAAATCAGTTATTAAATACCAAGCCTTTTTCTAACATTTAAAACAGTGGCTTAGAAAATAAGAAAGTTAAAAACTGAAGGTCTTTGTTTTCCAGTATCTTAAAATCATGACAGATTGATCAGCACAGATAACACGAAGAATTAAAAAGCTGCCTCTGAGAACAGAGACTGCAGTTTGTTTGACGCCATATTTACAGTGCCTGAAACAGTATGTGGCCTACAGTAGGCACGCAACCTTTAAATGAATAAATAGAATTTCTGGGCTTTGACAGTATCAGTGATATGCCTGTAAGCCCAGCAACTCGGGAGGCTGAGGCAGGAGGATTGCAAATTCAAGGTCAACCCAGGCAACTTAACAAGACCCTGTCTCAAAATAAAAAGGCCTGGGGATAGAGCTCAGTGGCAGACCTTTGGTTCAACACCTAGTACCACTCATACATACACTAAGAAAGGAAATTATATATAAATTAAACTTTCCAAATATATACCTGAACTTTCCAGATACCCTATTTCAGATTTATAAGATGAATTAATAAAAAACTGTTTTTTCTATTTTGCCAAAAGACCAATTTTTTCATTTATTAGAAGCTCACACATCAAGAAGGAAAGAGATAAAACGTATTGCTTTAGTGAAGCAATGAAACAAAGCAGTATGATAGGCCAGGATTGTCAGATGAGATTTTTAACAGACACATATGAATGAACCATCACAAAACCTCTGTACTTCTGATCAGGGCTTAAACTCATTTTGTCTACAGGTGCTACACTGCCGTTTTTGATGCTCCCATGGGAGACAGGAGCTGGCTCTGTTGTCACTTGCTCTATCTACCTGACTTCTTTTTCTCCTGTCCCTTTTAATTATTTTCATCTAAAAACATAACCAGAAAAATACGCAAAATGTAAATTGGCTGCTCCTACTATTAATGAGTATCTTTTCTAAAAATGACTAAAATGGTACTACGGATGGACAGCAAATTAATGGTACTACGGATGGACAGCAAATTAATTCCCCACCTCAAAGTTAAGTTTCTAGGCTCTGCAGAAAGCAGCCTAAAATGGGTAACAATGAATATATGAGAACACCTTCTAGATAAGAATGGTTCAGAGTAACAGATACAATGATCCTGAGAGATTTTATTACTAAATAATATTGCATGAGGTACAGAGGTCTATGGATTTTAAAAACTAGAACAGATCTTATGAGATAAACTGGTCTATTCTTCATACTTCATAGATGAGGAAATGAAAGCCTAGAGAGATAAAGTGACTACAATAAAATTTCTCTTGTCAATCTTAAGAGGGTTATAATTAAAATAGTCTGTATTTTGTAGTCAACCTGAATTTTGTAAATCCAAATCCTTATTTCCAAAATTTACAAAGGATGGTAATACGAGCTTAAAAAAAAATCTAGTAACTACATAGGTAGACAAGTGTCAAAGAGAAAAAGAAAAGTAAAGCAATGGTTATTTGAATAAGTTACAAAAATTTTTTGAAAACCTACACACATTTTTGTTCAGTAAAATTGTTTTTATAAAAATAATGATCTTTCACATTATTATAGGTCTAAAAGAACCACGTTGAAACAGAGAACTGTGAGGGTTCAATAATGTTATTTTACAAACCATACGGCAATATGAAAAGATAATCATTATAGAAAAAACATTTATACGATGAAGCGGCAATTTCACCCAAGAATGCCATGAGCATTTGGTACCATTGTCCTGGAGTTGCGATGACCCTTATAAACCATCTTTACTAGTGGCCTTCTAATGTTCAAGGAATCCAATTCTTCCATTTCTTTCCTTTCTTTTCTCCGCCGGAAGAACTCCTGAATACGGGCAACAGCAGAGCGTCTATGTATTCCACATTAAAACAAAAAGCAAAAACAAATAAAAAGCATTCACAAGGCATTCCAGAATGACATGGAGGAACTTTAAAATTCACTGTCTACAATATATTTAAATACATTATTCAATAAAGCACCCCAACCAAAAGCAAAAAAAAGCAGACACAGTGAGAGTACATCAGACTAGTTGAGTTACTACAACAAAATATTTTAGTTCAGAGATCACTTAGAAATTTGATACTGATTGAAAAAGTACAGAAAGTAGCATGCAGCACACTGGTTTTTAAAGGGCTATTTTATAAAATCATAAGACAGACAAAATTCATACTCAACTTCACTACACATAAATCCTGCTTAATGTTCTTTATTCTCGTCATATTAGAAAGAGGTCTAAACAGAAATCAAAAGAAACTACAGGCAACGTATTACAGCACAGGACAAACTAACATTTTGAGATTTTATTTAAAACACTGTTTAGAGACGTCAAGAAAAAGTCAAGAAATATTAACATATAAGGACTAAAACAAGGACCTTCAAATAGCATCTGTTCTATGTAGACTCCATATGGGGAGTAGAAATTTAGAGGTAATGAGGTAGATTTTACCCTCCTACGTAACAGAACTGGGGATTCAAGAATAAAGGACTCTTGTACTAATAAATAAATAAACTAAACATTATACTAAAAAAAGAATACTCCTTTAAAACTGATTTTATAATGAAATTTCTAACACATGATATTCATTAATTTTGAAGTTTAAATTTATTACGTAAAACACATTTTGACATACATTCACGAGAAACCCATGGTATTTAAAGTCGACAATTTAGTCAGAAAAACAAACCACATAGCAGTTAATATAGAACAGATCAATTATGTTCTGTAAGATGATGAGCCTCACTAGTAATAAAATGAAAACATGAAGTTGTTCTCTTTTTATGTTTAGCAGATTGAAAGGATTTTCTGTCAATCAGAGTGGCAAGCATTTAGAGAAAGATGCAATATGGGTAGGAGTTTAAACACGATTCCACATATATTAAAAAAGCACCTTCTTCTATAATAAACCTTTCACTGAAGTACAACACATAAGTGGGAAGATACAAAATCATAAGGTATTAGGTCAGTACGTGTCACAAACGGACAGGTCTATCTAACCAACACCATTATTGATGAAAAGCATAAGCCGTATTGTAAAACTTTCTTTCGTATTCCCCATTCCTAGCATTTCGTGCCCCTATATGGAAACCAATTTTCTGACTTCTGGTAACATGAAGTAATTCTGCTTGCTTATGAACTTTTAATTAAATGGAATCATACAACATATATTTCTTGAAGTCCAGCTTTAGCTCAACACTGTAAGATTTATCAGTATTACCGTATTTAGCTATAGTTCCTATTTGCTATATTATTTTGCATAAAGATAATTTATCTGTTCTATTGTTGGTGGGCAATAGGCTGTTTAGAGTTTCTAATTAGTAAAATAGGGATACTGTCAGTATTTGGTAATACCTTTTGGTGAACATATGTACATTTTTATGTTGGGTATACACCTATCTGAGGATTAGACCACAGTATGTACATAATGTTCACCTTTACTAGATAAGCCAAAACAGTTTCCTGAAGTGGCTATACAAGTTTATACTCCCACCAGCAATATATTAGAGTTCAATACATTTTTGAGAAATTAAATAACATATAATTTAAAACATGTATAAGCTTTGGGGGCTGGAGGCGTAGCTCAGTGGTAGAGCATTTCACTACCATGCATGAGGCCCAGGGCTTGAGTCCCAGCTCCACAAAAACATGTATAAGGTTCGAGTCAACAATTCTATATTTTAAAAAATTTTTCCTGAAAAAGTTAAATATACAAATATGCAAATGTATTTTGTTTTGGGCCATGCATGGTAGTACACCCCTATAGTCCCAGCACTTGGGAAGAAGGTGGGAGGGCTAAAAGTTCGGCTAGCCTGGGCTATAAAGCAAGACCTTGTCTCACACAGAACAAAACCAAACCTCCCAAAAATCAAAAACACACCTTTTTTTTTTTTTTTTCTTTTTACACCATAGTACTGGAATTAACAAAGATTAGAAATAATCTAAATGTTCAGAGAGAACAGGTAAAATAAATTATGACATATGCATACAATATAAAATTTACCATTAAAAAGAATAAGGAAGATTCATAAATACTGTATGAAAGATATCAGCATTTTACTGCCGAATCTAAAACGCAAGTTACAGAATAAGTCATAGGAAACAATGTCTACATGCATAAAGGGCATCTGAGAAGATACTGAATTATTAATAAAATAAAAATTGATATAACTACATAACAATTATGCACTCCCATGTTTATAATAAAATATTTTTTTCATAAAATACAGTAATATACAACTCTAAGTTATCAGGCTAAAGTGTTTTAAAACCTTCCAGAGCTGGGGATGTAGCTCACTGGCAGAACACCTGCCTAGCATGGAGGAAATCCACAGTTCATTCTCCAGTACCCCCAGCACACTTTTTTCTATGTTAAGTACGAGGTGTATTGAAAAGTAGGGTGTGTACGTTTCTAAAAAAATGTAACAATAAAAGGCATATTGCTATTAACCTCCCTCAAAATATTCCTCACCTTGCTTCTAGCACACTTCTGCTGTTCTTGACACTCTCTGAAGCAGTTCTGGAAGTCATCTTTCATATTTTTAGTTCACTATCTTGATTGCTTTGATGTCCTGAATCGATTTCAAATACTGAGCTTTCATGGTCATTTTGACTTTGAACCAGAAGCAGCAGGGTGCCAGATCTGGCAAAGGAGGTGGAGGAGGACACACTATAATGTTTCTTCGGGCCCGCCTTTCTGTTGGACGGTACTAGGCGGCAGCAGTCACTGTACTTTTGGTCACATCATATAATAATAAAGACACTCATGAAAGAGGACTTCTGAATTGCCTCACAAAGTGGCAAGAAGGATGGGATAAGTGTGTCCAAAGCCAGGGGGAGTATTTTAAGGGGGAATGATGACAATATGCCTTTTACTGTAGTAAATTCATTTTTAAATAGTCATTACGTATTTCAATCACACCTTACATTTCTAAAGACAAAAATGAGTCACGGCTATGTTTTTAAGTTAGAAACTTCCAGATAAAAATCTGACAATGGGAATGTGTGAGAGGTCAAATCCTCTCAAGAGAGACATAATATGTTAGATCTCACTTTTTTTAAAAGTGGAAGAAAAGAGAAAAGAACATGGCAAATTAGTTAAAAGTTACTGGGGGCCTCAGAGTATAGCTCAGTGGCACAGTGTGTGCTTACCACGTGTGAGGCTCTAGGTCTGATCCCCAGCACAAAAAACAAGAGCCCAACTAAAAAAAAAAAAAACTCTTTAGCTGAGAAAGTAAAGAGCAAACTAACTTCATTATCAATGAATTAACTTCACTGGTAAGCCAAAGATCTAAAAGCTATAAATGGAACAAGAACTATGTGACAAGTTAAGAATTTAGATGGCAGCTCAAATCATTTAAAACAAGAAAGGTGGACAAAACTGAGGCTATATTAGTAATAAAGTGGTAATAATTAAGAACTAGAACTATACCAACGTGGAAGTGTTCATTTAAAAATCTCTATAAACTTTTTTTTTTTTTTTTTTTTGAGACAGTGTGTCACTATGTAGTTCAGGGTGGCCTTGAACTTACTTATGTAGCCTGGGCTGGCCTCAAACTCACAGCAAGCCTCCTGCCTCAGCCTCCCGAGTGCTGGGATTACAGGTGTGAGCCACCACTCCCAGCAGCTTGCTCTATAAACTGGTCTAATTTACTACTGAATATCTGTTTAGCTTAATCATAAAGAATTTTTTTTTTTTTTTTTTTGGTTTTGCTCCGGTACCAGGAACCGAACTCACGACCTTGGGCTTGCCAGGCAGGTGCTTTGCCGCTGAGCTAAATCCCCAGCCCCAATCATAAAGAATTATTTAAAAACCTGGACCTCAAATTATGTAGTCTGTTTTGCAGTTTTAGACTAAAAAAAATATAAAAACTAAATCATTTACCTTGATCCCACTGTAACAAAAATTACTGAAGAGGAGAAAAAGCTTCACATGCATAAATTTCAAATTAGAAGACAAAATGACAAGCAGATTTTTTTTTTTTTTTTTTTTTTGGTACCGGGAATCAAATTCAGGACCTTGTGCTTGCCAGGCAGGCGCTTGTGCTGGACAGTAGATGTTATAACTCTATATAAGTATGTCACTCAGCTAGCAGTTCTGAAAAAACAGAATGCACTAGAAATCACTGTCCCAGAGGATGTTTAACAGGAACACCAAAAGACTACAGATTATTGCAACTAATAAATTTGTACCATATCATTTTATAAATGGATCAAATTAAAATTAAAATGATATACACATATGAAGAAAACCAATGAACAAATATTTATTAAAAGCCTACTATTTGGAAGTTTTTTGAGAATATTTTCTTTTCCCTTTATAGTGGTAGGGATTGAAACCACAGCCCTGAACATGCTAGGCAACCACTCTACCACTTAGTTATATCCCCAGCCTCGGTTATTAATTCTTTTACAGCATGTTACACTCATTTGACACACAATGTAAAATTCATAAAGAAGCCAAGCATGATGACACATGCCTATAACCTCATCTACTTTAGAGGCTGAGGCAGGAGGATCTCAAGTTCAAGGCTAGACGGAGCAATCTAACAATACCCCATTAATTAAAGGGGCTAGGGATGCACTTCAGTGCTCCAGTGGTTGCCTACCAGAGGCGAGGTTCTGGGTTCCAAGCACAGAACCACAAAACAAATAAGTACTTTTTAAGAAATTTCAACAGTTCAATAAGAATGGGAATGTTTTGGAATTTAAGACTAAAGTAATAGCAACAAAGAGTCTAAATCCCCCCTTCTGGAGAAAAAAGGAGAACAGGGGAAAAAACAAAGCAAAACAACAACAAAATGCAACAGAACAGTTAGAAGTAAAAACTTGGAAACAAATATAAATACAGCTGT